TTTTTTCCCACTGAAAAAAAAGCTCTTTAAACACATTACTTCATGAGCATTTTTGTGAAAGGGATACGGACAAAAGCACGCCCCGGACGAAAGCCCCTACCCGTCTAAAAATGACAATGTGAACAAAAGCCCCCACCCCTTCACCCCCATGAAATTAACACATAGGACAAAAGCCCCCCATAAAAAAGTAAGGTAGGACAAAAGCCCCCCCCCCCCCCATGGTCAATCAAATTTACATATAGTGTATTAAAGTTGTGTTTTTTATGTGTTTTAAAAAGGAATGTCAGACATAATCCCCTTCGGACAAAATCCCTTCACCTACCCGGACAAAATCCCCTTCATGGGTGGACATAATCCCCTTCATTTTTTGCAAGGCTGGACAAAATCCCCTTCACTACCCGGGAAAAATCCCCTTGTTTCATAGGTTTCTAATATATTATTATGCTCCATAAAAATTGATGAATAATTTATATTATACTCCCTAAAAATTGATGAATAATGAACTTTTGTTTTTTTATTTATAATTATGTAGCAATAGTTACCTTTATTTAGTTTAGAAGTTTTCATTAAAATTATGGTAAATTATCAACTGCATAACACGGAAGACGGACAAAACCCCACCAGTTAAAACCCCACCACTCAAAATTTTATAGAGTGGACAAAACCCCACCACTAAATTTTATAGGCCGCCAACTTCACAAAAATGACAAAATTAAAAAAATCTCTGAAAGTGATTTTTTCTTTAGATATGTCGTTTAAATAACAATAATTATCTTTAAAACTTCATTAAATGCCGTTTTATTGTTAAAAAAACATTTTTACAACATTAAAATTTTTGGCTGCTAGGCCGCCAGGCCGCCAGGCCGCCAGGCCGCTGGGCCGCCAACTTCACAAAAATGACAAACTTAAAAAAATCTCTGAAAGTGATTTTTTCTTTAGATATATCGTTTAAATAACAATAATTATCTTTAAAACTTCATTAAATGCCGTTTTATTGTTAAAAAAACATTTTTACAACATTAAAATTTTTGGCTGCTAGGCCGCCAGGCCGCTGGGCCGCCAACTTCACAAAAATGACAAACTTAAAAAAATCTCTGAAAGTGATTTTTTCTTTAGATATATCGTTTAAATAACAATTATTATCTTTAAAACTTCATTAAATGCCGTTTTATTGTTAAAAAACATTTTTACAACATTAAAATTTTTGGCTGCTAGGCGCCAGGCCGCTGGGCCGCCAACTTCACGCCGCTAGGCCGCCAGGCCGCTGGGCCGCCAACTTCACGCCGCTAGGCCGCCATGCCGCTGGGCCGCCAACTTCACGCCGCTAGGCCGCCAGGCCGCCAACTTCACGCCGCCAGGCCGCCAGGCCGCTAGGCCGCCAACTTCACACATCTCTTTATTTTACTCATTTTTTGTTCGGTTGAGGAACATGGAAAACTCACTTTTTAAAGAAATATGTTCAGATCATCATTTGTTTCATACAGAATCATTAGATGAGGTTATCTTTGCATAAAACAATGCTCGTTGTGTGTTTTAAGCTATCTTATACATTTTCTATTCGTTATAACACAGTTAGGCTATTTTGACAGTTTTTAGATATACGGTTACAATGGAAACTGCCATATAGCAAGAAATCCAACACGTCAACATATATTTTATCTTTTAAATTTTAAATTCGTCATTAAATTTTACTCATCATACAAACAAATTTATAAAATTCTATGAAAGGATTAATTTTTCATAAAACTGTCTTTAAATTATATTTAACCTCGTGTTATTTATAGTCTGAAATTAACATCAAATGATGTCCATTTCATATGGCAAGCTATTTGCACCTGTCATACATATATCGGGCAAACGACAGACTTTGATGTTTTAAAAGAAATGATTTTGGGAGTGAAATCAGATTTAAATTTATTGTGAATTTGAATTATTTGAGATGTGTGTCGTCTGAAGATTTAATACATTTTCGGGGGTTTATTAGATTCATGCATTCACGGGCTTTGACCCACGTGGGTTTTAAGTTACTCACAGAAAGTGTTTATGTATTTATTTCTTTTGGAATTCATCAGAGTTTTAAGTAGTGTAAAAGCTTGGATTAATCTTCATAAATTGATTTTGAAAATAGTTCATTATGAATGTTGGTGAAATGACAGAATATCAACAGATACTTTATGGTAAAACTAGCGTGACGGTGATGTTGTCATTAGGAAAAATGTAAGTATCAACAACATAAAATGCTTATTATATCAATCAAACTGTTAAATTACAAATCTATTTTTAACTACAAGAAAATCGTCTAGAATGAATGTTAAAACTCGTAACGCCATGGCTGGTTAGTAACTTGTTCGTGAACTTCCGGGGCGCATCACACATGTCCGGAAAATCGTCCGCCATTTCCGCCTCGTACACCGCCTCGTCAATTAGTTCGCTGTAGTTCATACAGGAATTCTTCACTTTTAGAATTTGGATTTCAGAGTACAAGCTCAGAAGCTTTTTTGCGAGTTCTTGGTCCGCCTTCCTCATGGCAAGCTGAAATATATATTATACGTGTATGAATATTGCTTAAGTGTTTTTAAATACTTCATATTTGAAGAATTTAAATAAATTGTAAATCTAAATATGTTTCATCTCATTTATATTGTGAAGATGGAGCTAATTTATATCGGTTCCAAATTTACTTGATACAACTTACCAGTATGTATGTGTCTTTTACGAGCAAATGTTAACTTGGTGGATTCATTTCATTTGGCTTTATTATAACACAGGCAAAAATGAGTTGGAAGCTTTGGGTATTCCCATAGACTAGTTTAACAAAGTCCAGAGTCTCTTTGCAAAGTAAACTAGAAAATTATGAAATTATGAGGTTATTATACACCGAAGAGTACAATACTTAATTATATTGGATAAGTACACAACTGTCAAAACTATATTAGACAAGGGCTAGCAAAATCTTTTGATATAGGTTTTGCATGTGTGTAAGAGTCCAATAGAGGACTCCACCTTTTTTGACATGTTGATATAACTTTGTTACTTCAGTAACAATAAGAATTTGATATGGATTATGGACTCTCAAAATGAAAACGAGGCTACATGGGGTGCGATATGGATCTGACATGAATTCTTTGGACTGTTGAAATGCAAAAGAGGATCTAAGGGGTATGGTATAGATTTGAATTTTTTTAACTCCTGAAATGAATGAAAACGAGGCTAATTAGATAAGATTGGATCCATATTAATGATATTTTCTATTGGAACAAATGCAAATGCTGAAAGTGTTAATAAAATGGCATACATATTGTTGGGAATGTAAAAAGAAATATCATTTATTCTTACCAGCTCTGCTCTTAATGTGTCGAGCTTTAACTGAAAGTTACAAAATTGCTGAGCGGATCTTTCTGCATTTGGTATAGGCGGGGAAAGCGGCATACTTTTAGATACTGACAATCTTTGGCGGGATGCTTCACTGTTTTTTCGGCTGCAGTTTGGACTATCCCATTCTTGAAAAACTGTGTCGTAGGGTGAAGGAGATCTAAGATCAGCTTCAGGAATGACAGATTTATCGCTGCTTGATGAGTTGCACTTCTCTAAATGTAATCTGTTTGGAGAGTTTGGTTTGGTTCCAATTGAAATATTAGGGCTCAGTAACAATGCACTGTGTTTGTCCTCGCACGGATATTTCTGTTCTCTATATCTAGCACACGTAGCTGAATCACTGTCCCTCTTTTCATCATCACTTGTATTATATATATTGAACTCAAATACTGTTTTATTTTTGTTGTTTAAAGGCGAATTTAAAGGCGAAGACGCTGGAGAATTAGACGCTGTCGTTGCCGGTGACTTTAAATAACTCTCTCCGCCATGTTTTCCTGATAATTTCTCTTTATTCAGTTTAATAACCTGATACAAAGACTGGCGACGAGTGTTCGGATCTGAAATTTCTGTTTTAGGCCTCCGTTTCTTGCGTTTGCTACCTATTTCATTGTCCCTGTTCTTGTTCCGGAATCGTACTTCCGTTTCATTTACGGATATGCACGTGCCCGAAACGTCATACAAGGGGATTTTAATCTTAGATTTCTTTCTTGAATAGTTTTCTGATGACTGTTGATTCAGACGATCGACCAGCTTTTTGACCGAAAATAAGTAATCTGTCATTTTTAACCAAAGTGGCCCCAAGTTTAAAGAAACAGACCTTCGAATTTCCCGTCAATATATAAACTTCTGTTCCGTTTGAATTGTAATAGTTGCTGCCAGAACAAACCAACAAAATCCGCAATTTTGAGCACCTAGCAATGGTCAAGTTAACAATTTTTATAGAAAGTGCATAGGCATTTTCTGTTTCTAGAACTGTTGAAAAACGTTTTTCACCATTAAAAGTGTTTATTTTAACGTCCTGGTTCACATCCTTCCTCTTAACACACGGCGACGGTTTATTTCATCAAAAGAAACACTACTTCGACGAAATCACTGTTTAAAATCCTATTTACTATTTATATTTCATTCTAAACTTAATAATTACTACCAAAACAGTGGCTAATATATTGAAACTATCGTTATATTATATTTACATATGTTGATATTATTATAAATAAAACTCATACATCCGGAATCTAAGTGCTTTTACAAGTTTAATTTCCGTGAATCCACAATATGATATACCGAGAAGCGGAAACTGTATTCATATTGTATCTTCTTATAATTGATATAATACAGTTTCATTATTAGATAGACAAGATGTGAAAGTACAATTGATAGTTATAGTGACTCAAAGTACAATTGATAGTTATAGTGACTCACAATTCGGTCGATTGATACTTGACAATATATTTTTTTTATTTTTTTATTTTTTTTGTTATTTTTCTATTTATTTTATTTGTTTGTTTTATTTTATTACATTGCACAGTAAAGATCATCTTGTGACTTTCCTGGTACAGTAGAAGGATACCTCAGACGCCTCTTTGTGTATTATTTTCGGCACTTGAGTAGGACCACCGACGTTCTATAAGCCAGCTGGATTGCTTCCTCATTTGAAAGAATAAAAATCCTTTACGGGATTCAAACCCACAGCGATGAGGAGCATATATTAACCAATATTAGCATAACACTTTATTGTTACAGAAAGCGGTTGTCATGAACTTATTTATTGAACACGTCCATGTCTAGACGCACATTAGTTTAATCTACTTTCCTTCCCAGAGTCATGGCAAACATCACCACTTGCAGGAAGTAACAGGGTGACACACGACCTAGTCAATGAAAGGCAGCAGCCAACTTCTAGTGAGAGGAAACAGAAGATTGCTTGGCCAAAGATGAACGACAAAGGCTGGGCACTGTTTGACGAAGACTTACACTTAGTCCTACAGTCAACACTCATCGGAGCAGTGGGAAGGAAATTGGAGGTACTTAGTTCACTTATATACACACTTGGGAAGGAAAGATTTGGCTTAGAAAATAAACCCAATCTACCGCAACCACCTCCAGTCCCTAACAGACGACTGTGTGAAATAAAGAAGATCCGACTGGAACTGCGGTCCCTCAGGAAGCAGTACAAGCAATCAAGTACGGTTGAGAAGGAAGGGATTAAGCAACTCAGAGAGCAGATACGATCAAGACTCAAGTCGCTGACCAATGCTGAAAGACTTAGACGAAAAAGGAGGGAAAAGACAAAGAAAAGAACAGCTTTCATATCAAACCCATATAAATTTACGAAAGAACTATTGGGCGAGGAGAAATGTGGTAAGCTGGAGAGTAGTCGAAACGAGGTGGAAGAGTACCTTAAGGAAACCCATTCTGACCCACACCGAAGCGAATCATTGGGAGAATGCGGAAGAATCCAACCAGTAGACGAGCCTGCCATTCCGCTAAACATGAAGGAGCCCACACGGAAAGAAATAAACGATGTGGTCAAGAAAGCACGCTCTTGCTCTGCCCCAGGCCCTAGTGGCATCCCATACAAGGTGTATAAGAAATGACCAAAGCTTTTAAGAACACTATGGTCACTTTTACGGGTGGTATGGAGGAAAGGAAGCATTCCAAATTGCTGGCAGACAGCGGAGGGCTGTCTTGTCCCAAAGGAGAAGAACTCGAAGAATATAACACAGTTCCGAACCATATCATTGTTGAGTGTGGAAGGAAAGATTTTCTTCTCCATCCTAGCCAAGAGAATGACAACTAACATGATAGAAAATAAGTATATCGACACGTCTGTACAGAAAGGTGGAATCCCAGGATTCTCTGGCTGCGTGGAGCACACTAGTGCGCTCACACAACTGCTACACGAGGCAAGAATCAACCAAAAAGACCTTACAGTAGTATGGCTAGACCTTGCAAATGCTTATGGCTCCATACCCCACCAACTTATTCTTGAGGCACTACAGCACTACCATGTTCCAGAACAAGCAAGAAATTTGGTCACAAGCTTCTTCAATAACATCCATTTGAGGTTCTCATGCAGTAGATTTACCACAGATTGGGTTCCACTGGAGAAAGGCATTGTCACAGGATGCACCATCTCTGTCATATTGTTTGTTATGGGTATGAACATGATCATCCGAGCAGCAGAGAGGGAATCAAGAGGTCCACAGACAAATGCCGGCATTCGTCTCCCATCCAATAGGGGTTTCATGGATGACATGACTATCACCACAGAAACCCACATCCAGGCGAGATGGATTCTGCACGCACTTGATGAAACAGTGTCATGGGCAAGGATGTTATTTAAGCCAAGAAAGTCAAGGTGTTTGGTAGTGAGGAAGGGGAAAGTAACAGACAGATTCAACTGACTATACAGAAAGAAGAGATTCCTTCGTTAGTCAACAACCCAGTAAAGTGTTTGGGAAAGTGGTTTGATTCTACACTCAAGGACACCAAAAGCCAAGGACGACTAAAACAGCAAGTTGAAGAAGGGCTAAAGAGAATAGACAAGTCAGAACTCCCTGGAAAGTACAAAGCATGGATCTTCCAGCACGGTCTTTTAGCTAGACTTATCTGGCCATTGATAATCAATGAAATCCCCATCAGTTTAGTCGAGAAGCTGGAGCAGTCAGTTAGCAAGCATCAAAGGAGATGGCTAGGCCTCCCTCCATCATTCACCAGTTTAGGTTTATATAGCCGGTCATCAAAACTACAGATGCCATTCAACTCACTGGTCGAAGAATACAAAGTTGCTAAGGCACGTCTGCTGCTTACACTTAGGGACTCGTCTGATGAGAAGATCAGTGGAGCAGGAATTGAAATAAGAACTGGGAGGAAATGGTCAGTTAAGCAGGCAGTAGACCGAGCTGAAAGTAGTTTAAAGCTCCAGGATATTGTAGGAACAACAAACAAGGGCAGAGAAGGACTAGGTATCAGGTTAAAACAGAGATGGAGCGATTCTGATAAAGTGGAGAGAAGATCAATGGTGCAGACAGAACTAAGGAGAGCAGAAGATGAAACACGGTCATCAAGATCAGTCAAACTTGGTTCTCAGGGAAGCTGGATGAAGTGGAACTTGCCAGAGAGGCAGTTAACCTGGCAGGAGCTGTTGAGTTATGAGTTTTCTCCTTAGATCTGTTTACGACCTACTGCCCTCCCCAACAAATCTTAAGCTGTGGAAGTTGTCAGAAGATCCCAGCTGTCCACTTTGCGGGAATGTAGGATCATTACGCCATATCATGTCATCATGTAATACTGCACTGTCCCAGGGACGATACAGATGGCGCCACGACCAAGTTCTTCGTGAAATGGCGGACATCCTGGAGAAAGAGAGAAAGAAAGATAGACCGTTGAAAAAGACTGGACCACACTTTATCAATTTTGTTAAAGAGGGGGAGAAGAAGTCTGCAAAATCAACATGTACTGGCATTTTACATGATTCAAAGAACTGGGAAATGCTGGTAGACCTTGGGAAGAAGTTAAAGTTCCCAGAGGAAGTGACTCACACATCCCTCCGGCCAGATATAGTAATGTGGTCAAGGTCTCCGAATTTGATGGTGATAGTAGAACTCACTGTTCCTTGGGAAGAGAGAGTAGAAGAGTCCCATGAGATCAAGAAGGGGAAATACCAAGACTTGGCAGACACATGTAAAGAAAGAGGATGGAAGACATGGGTCTTCCCAGTAGAAGTTGGTTGCAGAGGCTTTCCATCACAGTCAGTTTGGAAAATGCTGGGAGCAGTGGGCATTAAAGGAGGAGCCCGGAATACAGCAGCACATGCTCTTGGCAAAGCTGCAGAGAGAGCGTCCAGTTGGCTCTGGCTAAGACGCAATGAACCAACCTGGCAGCCATCGTAGACGAGGTAGTACCTGATCAACACTACCTGCCCCACCATCTTGAGGATGTTCCGAGATAAGGGGCGAAACATCCAGTGACAGATGGGTACTCGGCTGATGACGTCTACGTTAAGCAGTATATCTGTATTTTCACATCATAATTTATAAGCCGATGTTAATGACGGAATGCGTGTGTCGAGGTTACATGATAAGTTCGCTAATTGCCGCACTTGTCGCTTAAAGTCGCATCTTTGACGCGAAATGTCGCAACTACCGCTAAATATCGCAAAATCTTCTGCCGATAAAAGTCGCATTGGTAACGTTAAATGTCGCATGACTTCCCCTTGCCATACTACCGTTAAAGGAATAGGAATGGATGGATTGATGTCTGTCTAATATAAATATTCATCATAAAAAAAGAGGAACCATGACAGTTTACCTATTGACATCAACCCTATAAGAGAGAAATTCGTGTTTTAAGACACTATTTTTTACTTGAGAAATAAGTTCATGGGCGCCGCTATTTTGGCGTTCTGTCATTCTCGCGAGACAGACGAGACCGAGATTGTGACGTTTAATACCCACTTCCGGTATAGGTGTATACGCTGGTACAACTGAAATATACCTTGATGAAGAACTTATTAATTTTATTACGTACATTATATATTATTTATGAAAACATCATATGGAACTGAATTGCTTTAATTAATTAATTGAAGACGCCGCGACATTAATTATTATTTCTCCGATATTCAAGCTTGCTGATGGCCCCACCACATGATTTAAGCAATGGCTGCTTAATTTTCAAAGATAAACCATAAATTTAATTTGGGTACTATGAGAAACTTCTTCAAATTGACGATATATCCTTTTATTTTGTACTTAATTTTCGCCAGACAAGCTGTCCAAATAGGGTACATCGTCGGTCATGTATCTTTTTTTCAGGTAAAATACCAACTAAATCCAATATATATCTACTTACCAAATTCCTTTCCCCGACAGATACGCATTTCTACTACCGTAAATTTAATCCAATAAATCAAAAAAAAATCATAAATCTACTTAATATTTAAAATGATTATTGGTAACTGAAAAAAATGTGTTGCTATTTTATGACGTGCTGTAATTTACTACAGTATAATTTGACAGGTGTGGAACCTAATTCCCCTTAAGGTCATTCAGTTCACTGATGAAGCGTAAAAAAATAGATGTCTATTTCGTCATTAGAATATTTGACAAGGGTGATTTACCAATCAGGGCAACATTGTGCATGATCAAAAGGTCTGTCGGCACAGAGGCATACAAGTATGGAGGCTATTCGTTGCCAAAAATCCAGCCTTGTTGATCTGAGTTGAACAGTTTGTTAATGGAAAAAATACAATTGTATTTCTTTGTATGTAAACTCCAATGTTGCATACTTGCATTGAGTTTGCCGATTTAACATTGTAAACATGCATCTACAAAATACATTTTGTTAAACGACAAAACATTAACTGATAGTAGCAATACCAAGTGTTGGAATACTCAAAACAGAAGTTACATTCTTAGCTTTACATTGTCGAACCATCATGATTCAGATCAGCATAATCCAGCTTTACACGTTTTTCAATAGGAGATAAAATAAGCTCCGCCCATTTTCCCGCCCACTAAATCATCGTAAATAAACGTATTTTCCGCTCATTTTCGGTATTTACCGTCGGCGACAAGAAGCGGCGTAGTTTCCGTTTATCATACCTTTTAGGTGTTTAGTTACTAAACATAATTCACTTGCATGATTGTCTACAATCAACATCAGCGGACTTTAAAGGAATATAGGCATATAAGTTTTAAAACGTTGTAGACACCACATTTCCTGGAAAAAGAAACTTAAAAAAACCCAAAAAAACACCAGGTTACATACTGTCTGAGGTAAAATATTTTTCAAGGAAGTGAAAACTATTGAAAAGGAATGAGTAACATTTATTTGCATAGGAATGAGTAACATTTACAGTTAAGCTGCTACTTTACCACTTTCAAATTTTCAAGTCAACATCTGATAGAGATTTTGATACGACTAATTACTCATACAGACCAAATTCTGGCTGTTGTCTTTCCTAGTAGTACTATTATATTAGTAACCTTAATTCTAGCGTATGACTTGACAAGAAAAAAAACTTTTAACAATAGTAAAATTATAACCAAAGTTGTATGTACCCTTTCGTACATAACTTTTTATTTTTACCATATATTTTCCCATTTTTCCAATCTTGTTTTTCAGTTAAATTTAAATGAGTCCAAATGTATGTATGTTGATTATCAATTTATGTATACCTTGTTTATTTTATCTCTTAGAAAGCCATGACTTACAAAACTTAATAAATATTCTGTGTAGTATTTCATATACATAAAAGTAGTTCTCTGTTTTTGATCATATAGACAGCAAATCTAGATAGCAAATCTAGGTAACAACTAATGACAGCATGTAAACACATATTTTAGAGGTGCTATTGAGTCAGCACAATGCATAAAAAGACCTAAACCTACGCCAATTTACATATATTTAACAATAAAAGGCTAAACCACATCCTATGACTCAAAATATCTCCCAATGCAGGTAAACAGAGTTGCCAGGATACACTGAATATTCATTTCAACATTAAAATGGGACAAATTCACAAGTTTTTGTTATACAACGGAATTATCGATAGTAAACTTTGCATTGTTTCGTGGTTATACACTTGGTCAAAAAATTTTCTACAAACAACATAGTCCTTTAAAGAAAGAAGGCACAGACTTATTGTTCAGTTCTCTTTATTCTTGTTGCCAAAAGTGCCTTCCATGTATCGCATTCTAGTACTATTTGCTGAAGGTAAAAAAAAAAGACATGCTTAAGAGTATTGCCGTGGCTCACAAAACCCTATCATGGATATTAATGTCTAGTGGTGTGTGTCATTATATATGGAAAACATTTCCTTATGTTATTTCACCAACTTTAGTTTTTGCATATTAATATGCTCATTATCAGTATATACGTTGTTACATTTTTACATTATATCTTAACCAATTTTGCATTACTTGAATATCCTGTACTAGAATACGTTTTAACAAAATCAGAGGATGTTCAAAGTCAAGATTGATGTAACAGTTTCTATATAATTTGAAATATTTTTTGTACCAGCAAGAGTTACCTCTCTTTATATTCTGCTTTCGTGAAATTGGCTCCGCCTATTAATTTTCGTCTATTTCCGTGATAATTCCATATATGGAAGTTGCAAAATCGTTTACAAATGTTAATCGCGTTAGAATGTAAAAGGAAAGTGTGGTGTTGTAAACCTGAGTGTGTCAAGTTGATGCAGTTACATTCTCAACGTCATGATGCACAGCATTAAACGTATTGTGTACGTCCTATCGTTTACATTTCTACATGTCGCAAATTTGAAATTATACATTTATAAATACAGTTTGCAATTTATCTAAGTTGCATGTTAACAGCTTTCATTTTATCAAATCGAGATAATCAAAATGCTTAATACCAGTGCAGTATGTAACTCTCGGATCGACAATTAGATTTTTACTAATCTGTTTAGTAGAACCGAAGTATGCATTGTCAAGTTTCAAAGGCTGGATTTTTGGCAACGAATAGCCTCTATATACAAGGAGCAAAAAAAATCGTCAGTACATAGTGTGACAGGAGCATTTGGTGCAAATTAGGAACAATTAAAATGGACAATGCGCAGTATTAGACATAAGTAGTAAGAACCAGCAATTGTGTGAATAAATTATGCAAATAAGACTTTTGAGCAGCCAATAAAAATGATTTGCCTGCAGTTAATATTAGGGTACGATTACGATGCGCAGCATCATATGTTGACAGACATGTTAACAATTTACTTTTCAAAAGAGTTGCTTATATTTTTGAAATGTGTACATCAATTATAACATATGTTCACACCTTTAAATTTAAAAGTCAGAATCAAACTGCAAAAATTTAATTATATGTACTATTAAGAACACGTTTTAAATAGTAGGGTTTTTGTAATGGAAGTGGCTAGCGTACGGGCCCGTACGGCTAGCCAAAGGTTTTAGCCGTACGTGAGTCACGTACGACTAGCAAGGACACGCTGTATTGGCTAGCCGTACGGCACTTTTCAAAATTTTATGGAAGTCGAAAATGCATATGTTATTTTATGACTTTAAGCGAGGATTTTAACCAAGAAACAGCATTAATTGTCTTTGGATGTTAACTTTTTAGAGATTAATCGCCTTGATCGCTATATATATCGATCTTTGTCAACGCAAGATGTCGAGAAAAAAAATAGCCTTTGCTTGCATTTACACCAATTGAAATAGTTTACAAAATTTTGATAATAATCCTTTTTTGTTTCATTAAGTTTAATTTTCGACACCTTTTATATGAAAAAAAAACAACAAACACTGAAAATGATTGTTGTTAGGCTCTTGATAATTGCGACAATTACCGACGGTACTGTATAGAAGTTTGTCCATCAAGGAAAGTTTGCATGTTCCGTGAAAGGCATTCTAAAATTCTATTGTCAGTCCCTGGATAGGTTTTAATTAAGGCTGATTTATTGATTGACTGTGCTTTTATGTTCGATATTTATCTACTGTTTTGAAAATTATATAATTATTTTTGCATTTCACCGTTTTTTTTTTTTTTGTCAATCAATGTTCTTTTTATTTATTTATTCCACTCCGATCATTTTTTATTCGATCCATGTGCTTAAAATTAACAAAAATGATTTAATAATTCATACAAATAAAACAACAAATGATAAGCATGAAAATCAACAATTTTATAACGTTCGACTTCCATATAATTTTGAAAAGTGCCGTACGGCTAGACAATACGTACAGTGCGTCCTGTCTAGTCGTTCGTGACTCACGTACGGCTAGAACTTTTGGCTAGCCGTACGTTTCTTTATTTATTATTATTATTTATTTTTTTGATATTGTTACGTATTTTGAACCATAAAAAGTTTCCTCTACACCTCCTGTGAAAATTAAATTGTCTGGTCATTAATATTTCCTTACGATTCAACTAGATTTATCATGAATCTAAAGATGTGGGGGAAATGACATCACGCGCACCTGTTTTTATACGGCCAATACACAAACATGGCCGCGCTTACTGATTTGTAGAAATCGGTGATTTAGCGATTTAAATTTTGTTATCATTCGTTTAATATTATTATTTGGCGGCAGAAAATTTGCAGAATTATTATTTATAGTATTCTTTTTCTGAAATCAAGTTTTTGTTCTAACCTTGTCTTTCCCTTTAAAGATCGCAAGATTTTATTCATGATCAAATTAAGTTAGCTAGTAGTATTAAATTACAATAAACATTGGGTAAATGTTTGTATGTATTTAGTTACTTTGGGACATAAAGGATTGTCCCCGGACCATCTGCCTAGTACTCAAGATAAATGCTTTTTCTTAAAGAGATTTGGTCTACAAAGGGCACATTTACAAACTATTTTAAATATTGTTAAAAATAATAGAAACGTATCATTTCGATATTCTTGCAAAATTTAGAACAAAAACTATATATCTAGTTCTACATGAATTATGACATATATGATGAATTACAAACGTTAAGTTCTAGAACATCCACATAATTCTTTCATGGAATCATAAATATTTATGGTATTGCATCATAGACGAAATCACTTTAAGTGTATTGCTCTGTGTACTTTTGCAATTTTATAACTAGACTAGCGTCCGTCTACTTGTCATGGATCGCCAAAGACTTAGGATTCCTTCATTTGAGGAAGCTATCCAGCTACCTGTCGAAACCTCTGCCCTGAAGTTCCCGTTCGTGCATGGAGGTTTACTAGAGGTGATCATCCACCAAAAAAACTGAAAAACCGTTATGTAAGCTTTTTGTGTTGGTTTAATGCAAAAAATTAACTTAATAAAAAGTTTTTAAAAATCGTGTTAGGAGAAATAAAATTCTTATTTTTTTATTGTTGTTGTTTGTTTGTTTCAGTTTTTTTTTTTTTTTTTTTTTTCATTGTTTTTTTTTTTTTGTTTTTTTGTTTTTTTTTTTTTTTTTTTTTTTTTTTTTTTTTTTTTTTTGTATACAACCTAGTAATAAAAATCTGGAAACAAAGTGATCCCTCGGAAGCATTAATCACAACAAAAATTACAAGATAATTGCAGACTCGGTTTATTGAATCTGTACATGAGGGATAATGGATACGTGCAACATCCCTCACGCCCCCTAGCACCGGCTTGGGCAATCTTAAAAAGTTCATAGTGTGTGTTTATTTTAGATTTCAGGTCTGAATAAAACGCAGCCGACAATTCTGACAATGGTTAGGCTGTATATATTTGCAAGCCGAATCTTAACCTGCTGTATTTGTAAAATGCACTTTTTAAGCTTCCATTTTTAAAAACTGGCTATCAACCTGGAAATATCAAGATAGAAATTTTTTAAGTTAGTTAGCCATAAGTACACTGCCAACTCAGTCTGCACGAATATGCAGCCCTGCTTATATGCATCTGGGTATCTCAAAGTTCAATGTTACCATATATAAAATATAAAAGTATTAATTATAACATTTTATTACTAAAAAAGTGACATATGTTCGTAGTCAAGTTGTCAAGTTGAGCTGAACTGACTATATATTTCAAAATATTGACTGTTAGAATGGTGATTGACCAACAATTCATATTGTAATATATCTAGGATAAATTTCAAATCTGCCTAAAATATAAAAAGACTGCCCCACTCTTTTTTATGAACTCAACGTTTCAGGCAAATTGATATCTACGAAAAAAATCTCTTGGATCCTTGTATTGTTTATTGGTAATTTGAAATGATTTTATATCATAAGAAATAAATAATTAGTTTGACTTTCATATGTTTTCTTATTTTTACCCTTGGATGGGCATTATGTCACTTAATAATAACATCTCAAATAACTTAGCGAGGGATTGGGGGAGGAGCGAGGGATGCGGGGAGCGTAATGGGGGAGGAGTGAGGGATGGGGGAGGTGCGATTTGGTTTAACTTAGACACAACAATATCTTGACAAATCACGTTTTTAATAAGTACAAATCATTTTCTATAACATTGGTTTTATTCGTATACATAATGGCAAGAAAGTAAGCAATGCAAGTCCCTCTTCTGTTACGTAAACCGTACAAAATGCAAGATTTTCTTGATATGATATTTATAAGACATGTATATAACAATTGAAGGCCACCCTTTCACCAGGTCAACCGTATAGTATACCCATCATTATCATGAAGAGTTTTAAGAATATTTAACAAATTAATGATAGTATTTTATAACATGATTGTGTAAAGTGAAATTATGTCAGAAACACATTGAAAAAACAACACAAAGACTCAAAATCATAATAAATTATAAAATATTGACAAAATCACATGACATTTGCATTAAAAACACATTATAGATTCATGTTTTTTTCAATGTGAATGAAATTAAAGTACTAAAGTTCGTTGATTGTGATTATTTCTTTATGTTTCTCAAACTCTGTTCAAAGTTCTATTTTATTTCGTTCTCTCATCTGGAAGGGTTTACCTTTAATTTATGTAAAAAACCTAACTTTTATTTAAATATTATACAAAAGTATGATAATATTTTAATGAATCTCAAAAGTACTTAAGTGTTTTCAGATACAAATGTAAAAAAAATCGACAAAAATGATAAATATTTGATGATTTAAAGGCCCATTATGCCTCAGAAATGCTTCTTTTTTATTTCTCGAAAACTATTGTTTTCGGTATCTTTTTACATTTTTCAAATATTACTAATTTGCGACATGTATGAGCAATTTATTGCTTCGTTTCCTTTGTCGGCAACTTGACAGTTGGTATGAATTAGTAGTATTTTCTAAAGATGTCAAAATACTGCTTTGCTCTGTTTTCTTTTTCCTACATATTGGAAACATTTTTCATGTTCAGAGCTACTTTATACAGTGTGTTAAACATCTAGAAATGTTCTAAACCCATTATTTAAACGATATTAAAAACATGGTTGGTATTTCTTATGGAATTAAAGAAATGCGATTTCTAAGGTATAATTTGCCTTTAAAACAAATTACTACATGTAATTACACACACTTGATCAGAAAAAGAGATGAAACAGGTCTAGTCTTATAATAAATGTCTTATAATATTATACAATAAACTCAATTATTTTAAAGTGGATTGGTCTAGAATGGACACATTTTCAAATATTTATAAATAAATCAATAGAAATTTATAATTTGTATAACTTTGGAAAGTGTTGGACAAGTTATAAGTGATTTATATGAATATTCTTGGGATGAATAGCCATATTTTGTTCGAGAACACTTTATTATTTGCAATAAATGAATATGTAATAATTGATCATGTTTATCGCATTTACCAACAACACCCGTTTATATAGTTTTGTCGTATTTTGTTGTTACATATGACACTAAATTCTATCAACATATTTTTTCTTGGTATAGCACACTGGACCAATTCACTTTAAAAGGGACAGATGATGTACCCGCAAGAGGGTTGCACTTATCTTTTCCTATTGTTAACAAATAAATAGGTCAACAACACTTTAATTAACATTTTTACAACGGCGATTACAGTGTAAATAATTCACCACCCTTCCCTTTCGGATTTACAATTGTCACGCGGTAGCTCAATGTTTGCAGACTGATACTGACTTCCGGTTGTAAGAATTCCGGATGACGCTTGATCTTGTAAATGCGCATTGACTGGACTTGCGCATGCGCTATTTTCTGATCGGGATATCTGGTTTTGGCTGTTACAGTCATTGAACTTTTGACGCTTGTTTTGTAATTTGGAAATGTCATGTTGGTCTTTGGTTTGTTCGCTTCTTTTAAGGCCTGAGGAATGGTGCCAATTTGTAACAAGTTGACAAGGATTGGGTTTGACGTCAACCTCCGGTGGTGGAACTTCAAATCCATTTGAAGATCTTTGTTGGTTGAAATTCACCGACTGGCCAGAATTCCCGGTATTGTTTTCACTTCTTGGTGACGTATCTGACCTTTCATTATCTAATGCTCTTCGTGAGTAATACTTCACCATAGAGTTTGTATCACTTTGCCGGCATGCCATCATCGCTAAATCGTCGTTTGATTGGTTGAACTGTGCTTGGTTCCCGGTCGAACCTGTAACAGTCCGATTATGTGGTACCCTGTTCGAGAAAGTGATTGCTCGTGGTATTGTAAACGGAAAACTACCGGAGCTTTGAGGAACATTCTGAAAGCCGGGTGGTGACGGTGTCATTCTCCCTGGCCCTCTGAAATGATAATGTAAGCGATGATACAAAAATGCCTCCAAAACAATATAATCGATATGTATATGTACAGATAACTCAGTATGAATCGTTGCAGAAGCTTATAACAGTTCTCCCCCGTGTCTGATAACCAAAGATGATGCATTGATGTTTGAATAATTAGAATACATGCATAAAATGTATCAATAGCAAAAATACCCCGTGTCTGATAACCAAAGTCATACATTGATGATTGTGTAATAATTGCACATTTATGTGTATTTGTATCAATAACATAAACATGCATTAATGTAATGAACTTAACTGTATACATTCGGTCATTGTTATACTTTTGCTTGATGTTAAATAAATAAATATGTAATATGTAGATTTCTTTCTAGATACTCATTTGGTTTTATAAATACAGTAATGATTCTTAGAATTCCCTACTTATTTCACTCGTCTAATTCTTTGATTTACTTCCCTTAGTATTGAAAAATGCATCTTATGCGATGCGTCTATACACACATACAAATTGAATGATACAATGAAAAATTACCTATCAAAGCTGTCTCTGAAACCTTTTGCAAATGGATTGTGATCAATCTTCAACTGTGTAATCTGCAAAATATAATTTCATGTTTCATGATCATTCAGGCATCTTTTCTTGATCACGTGATGCTTTTGATTTTATATAGACCAGATTTGATATTTCCAAATATTGTAATTCAGGTGGTAACAACACTTATGTGAAATTTTATAAAATTTCCTGTGTGAAATTTTATATATGTACATAATTATGCTTCTAAAACCATTTTTAAACATCCAAGAACATGTTATTAAAATATGTACTGCAAATGTTTAATTGCATTATGTGTAATCATTAAAATGTATGCGTTAATTTCTTATTGAAAAATTTGGCTTATACTTTATAGAAAATAATTTTTTATTTGCCTCCCTATATTTGAAAATATCTTTACAAATAATGCTTTTAGGAACTTACAATATCGATTAATCTTCATTTTAGCATCATATATATGATAAAATACCATAAAGATTGAATTACAAGATCTTTAAACATATATCCTAATGTGAACGTTACTAAAGGCGTCATTCTTCATAAAAATTAAGATATTTAATTAGTAAATATAGTATTTAATAACGGAGCTATGTATAATGGATAATTGTTGGGTCAGTCTATAACCGACAAAAGATGTCCTATAAAATTTGGGAACTTTTTGCCAGTTATTCCTTGTTTAAAATTCGGTACAACAAGTAACAACATTTGGTTGGTGCATTTTGTGTAGTGATTAAAAAAACGAAACTTACGTCGGTGTTTTGATATGCAGTTACGGCAATAAACTGTGTCTCCGGAAATGAGTGTGTCTGTAAGCTCTTCTGGTCTTCCGGTGCACAAGAGTCAACTTGGATCACGTGAATTCGCGGCTGGTATTTATGCATTGAGTTTAGTATGACCTGAAATAAATATGTTTGAATTATTAAAAAAAAAAATCTTCTTAAATGCAACAAGAATGTCAAATCGATTTCACAGCCAATGTTTGATTTTTTTTCTCGAAACTTTGTTGTCTTTAAATGATTGAAAATGACTTGTTCTTAAAAGAGAATTTTTTTCTGGTGATAAATGATATAATATAAAAATTCGCGTTGTTTCTAATTGTGCTTGTTATTATAAGTGTTATGTCTGTTCTTTACTGACTGTGTACTTCTATATTTATCTAGTCCTCGGGAATAATTTGTCAAGCCTGTCGACAAAGGTCATCTAAAAAAAGAGATCGGAAATGGCCTTTATAAACAAGTGGTCTTTATTTGGAGCTCATTTTGTTTTATTTAATCAATGAAAGATTGCCAAAGAAGGGCATTTTTTTTAACAGAATGATCTTTTTTTCAGAATGCCGGGCACTTTGATTTTATAATGTAAATTTATTATGTAAATTCTAAGTTTCCATCAGAAAGCGTGAGTGAACTTAGGTTATTTTTGGTAAATAAGAAGTGCAAGCTAAGAATACTTTTAATTTAGACCTCCCGGGTCAATACTTTAGTATAGTAGCGGAACCGGGTAAGGGCTTACACTTTTACGAATTTTATATTCTACACAAACTATTTAAAACATTGTACATACGTGTCCGGCCTCGGCGTTTTTGTTGTTGGTTAATTTAAGTTTTCCAAAAACAATATCTTGCTTCATCCAATGTGCTCCAGAGTTTGGTGAATCCGGGTGTAGGTAAACACGGCCATCTGTAAAAAAAATCGTTTATAAATTGAATAATTGATAAATGGAAAACATTGTATAGAATTAAAATCATATAAATAATCATGAAATAATAATTAAAAAATAAACCCTGTAAGTCAATGGCTTTATGTATTAATTGAATAAAGAATTGAATCCTTAAATCCTAAATGAAATTATCGTACTTCTTTACTTTGTAAGAATTATGTCCTGAATGTCAGAAGTGTCCTGTATGTCAGTGTTTAAGTAATGTGCTGTATGTCAGTGATTCAGTAAAGTTCTGTTAATCAATAGGGTCCTGTATGTCAGTGTTACTGTATGTCAGTGTTTCAGTAGTGTCCTGTTTGTCAGTGTTTTAGTAGTGTCCTGTATGTCAGTAGTGTCCTGTATGTCAGTAGTGTCCTGTATGTCAGTAGTGTCCTGTTTGTCAGTGTTTCAGTAGTGTCCTGTGGGTCAGTGTTTAAGTAATGTGCTGTTTGTCAGTGTTTAAGTGGTGGCCTGTATGACAGTAGTGTCCTGTATGACAGTGGTCAGAAGTGTGTATGCTTTTTGTTCTGTGTGTCAGTACAGTGTTTCAGTAATGTCATGTGTGTCAGTGTTTCAGTACTGTCATGTGTGTCAGTGTTTCAGTACTGTCATGTATGGCAGTGTTTTGGTAATGTCATGTATGCCAGTGTTTCAGTAGAGTGATGTGAGTCAGTAGTGTTCTGTATGTCAGTAATTTACTGTATGCCAGTAGTGTCATGTGTGTCAGTAGTGACCTATATGTCAGTGTTTCCGTAGAGTCCTGTCAGTCAGTAGTGTCCTGTGTGTCAGTGTTTCAGTACGTGAGTTGTGTCTTTTGTGTTCGTGTTGTGTGAGTTGTGTCATGTGTGTAAATGTTTGAGTAGTGTGTGAGTAGTTTTTTGTTAATCAATATACGAAAGATTGTTAAATTTTATTTGAGTAGAAAGACTGTTAGTATTTTAGTGGAGAAGCGGGGGGGGGGGGTCGAACTCGCAACCCCTAGACTTGTAGTCAGACAGTGTTACCACTGCACCACAGCACCCGCTCTGATTTATAGCTATTTTGGAAGTTCCTTTATACATTAAATTGAGTAATGCAATTTAATTTTCACACCTAGCTAATAAGTCTTAAGTGTTTTACAATTGCTGACATTCACGTCTATGCTCCAGGCTATGATTAAGGACTTTACACAAGAAAATAACTTAAGACTGTTGACAGGCTGTAAAAAAATCATACCAGAAAAAAACATGTTTCGTTAAATAGAATGGCAGTTCTTATATTGACAATAAGTTAGCGGAATCAATACTTGTTGTTAATGATAAATGATGGTTTGAAACAAGTCTTTTTAATCCAATTTTCACATCTTGACATAAAACATTGAACGGAACACGGAATTGAAAAATAAACGAGAAAGAATGGTCTGGTTACACTGTAAGTCTTATATGGCAGCGGACTTCGAGTATACATGACAAATAAAAATACCATATCATATGTTTTATAAACATACAATTTATCAATTCAAAGTGCGATATGAGAAATGATACCAGGGTTATATTTCAGAACACCATGTCTGAAAAGACTCGTAAACGCACACCTAGACTGGTGTTATTATGCATAACAATGTTGTTTTTCAACAAAAGAAATTCAATAATTAAACGCTAGATTTCGCCAACGCAATCAGATGGCTAAGCTCTACTACTTATGAACGGCGCCTGCCACCTTGTAACATGAGAAGATCTGGGATAGTTTTGGCACCAAACGAAACACAGGTGCGACCCTTTCAATTGGATATACCATTATTTATAACGGTAATAAACAACAGTTTAGAATATGTTCTGTAAAACAGTTTCTTGAACACGGTAAATATCAATATTATGATTCACCATTGTATCAACTGCTTTATTGTATTTGCAAAAAAATCATTGTCATGAAAAGGTAACATTCAATTGTCAACGGTGAAATTTGAGAAAGGTTCTGATGTTATCAATAATTTATTATTAATTGGCACTAGTCAATGCACTGCGCATGTCCAGTTCCGACGATTGCGCTCATAGTGAAGATTCGACGAGAGTAAATTCGTGACGCCACTTTAGTCTACTGTGACAATAGTTAGATGTCGAATCTTGCCTTATTAATTATTTGCTATCACTAAACTTCCATTTACATTTTAAAATACAAGCTTTCGGATATTTCTACAGATTTTATAATATCATCTGTTAGCACATTTTAAATTCAAAACTAATTAGAGGAAGGATTTATACGTATATATGTATCATAAGTTATTAAGATTTGTTTACAGGTCAAATGACCCTATTGCAAACAACCGTTTATATACGGTCAAAAAAACTGTCAGGAAGACTTATAACGAATTTATAATACAGAAAAGTTTTTAGAGAGCAAAAATAATGAGATTTCGTCATATATTGACAGCAGCCGTGTATACATGTATAGTAAAACTACTTAAAATACGTTTATCCCATAAAAAAGTGACGTTACAAACGTGCGGTATTGTAAAAATATTAATAATATGTAAACTGTTTGCGGATCCTTTTAAAGTATTTAAAATGCTTCTTTTTCGTTTCAATCTTATTGTCCTTTTCTATTTATAAATAAATTTGTATTTTAACTGTAAGTCAAACTCATCATGAGTAATGACAAAAGTGTGTGCCAGATTTTAATACCGCGGATATTTCATTCTTCGTGAAATATGTTGTGGTCACCTGTCAGTCATAGTATCACGCGGTGATTAAACATTACATACTGACCACTTACCTGGATGTACCGAAATCTAATTATAGTCCGTAATATATGACAACAATTGTGTTTCAAGTGGTGCCTAAAGTTTGACCATTTCGTACTACCCCCGCTGACCGTTGACGCCAGCCGTTACAAAAAAGCTCTTATTATAAAACAACGATAATTTGACATAGAAAAATAGGGAAATAAAGACATGATCACAAATGGTGATTAGTCGGTATTGACTGCTTTTTGTCGTTTTTGTATCTTTTATGTTGTTTTATTTCTGTTTTGTTCTGTGCTCTTTTGTTGAAATAAATTTTTAATAAGTTTTAAAACATTACATTGTGCAAACCTATCATATATTTATATTTAGTATATTTCAGTTTTCATGTGGCGATATATAAAAAAGTAACAAATGACATAGAGTATGGTTTTATCATGTAAATAGTTATTATTATAAAATGCTATATATATATGTGCTTTATACATTTGTAATCTCCTGTAATTCTGTAAAGAATGGTTATATACATGTTCTTATGATATATTTAATGTTGCTTTATATTGTATCATATGATGAGACTTTTATAAATAAATTAATTTATAATAAAAATAATACAATTATTTTAAATTTTGAATGATTCGCTTATTGATTCAAATTTGACATATACTTCGCGTCTTTTACCCAGCCCATGAACTACAGACCGTGTTTAAGTATGCTAACTATCTCGGTATATGTTCAACCCTGTGAGCAAAGTCCACCTTAAAGAAAGATCAAACATGGCATTGATAGACAAATGGCCTTTATTTGGAGGTTGATGTCTTATATTTATTCAATTAAGAGTTGTTGAAAAGTGACCATTATTTACAGGATTATCTTTATTTCGATGTGGTCTTAAAACAGGTTTAACTGTACATACTTTGAGGAAGTTGTTCCGCTTGTCCACACGGCACCCAGTGTCCGTTCTGGAACTTCCAGTGACTGTTATCAGCCAGCACGATGTCTACAAACACGTTGTACTGAGAGTGGGGATCGAGCCCGGTTAAACTGTACTGTAGGGTCGGGAACATACGTCTGTAATAGAAACAAGCAATTTTGATATCGTTCTAGCTGAATAAAAGGTCAAAGTTCTTATTATATATGTATGTGAATATTTTTGTTGTTGATTGTGTGTGGGTTTGTTTTTTGTTTTGTTTTTGTCTTGTTTTTTTGTACTATTGTTGCTGTTGTTTTGTTGGTGTTTCTGTTTTTTTTTATCGTTGTTTCATTTATTTTTTTTACATTTAGTATTTCTTTCTTATTATTTATATTTCACCTTTCATTCATCTGTCATTCTATGATTGCAATGAAGTATGATTCTTATATTAATTATATATACTTATATATGAAATACTGAGAAATATTGATGCAATAACTTGCGTAAATTTATTTTCCATATTATCACTGTAAAGAAGTATTGCCGAACTACTTATTTCTAAATTCAGCCAAAACACAAAATTAAAATTAAATCTTTCAAATTGTAATATCAAAAAGAAAAATGTATATGATAAACTTCATGTTTTTCCTACGAATACTACATCTTGTGGTTTGAAAATTTTCATATTTCACTCGTGGCTACCTCTCGATGAAAATAAATTCTGTATTTATAGAAAAAACTTGAATATCCTCTATCTATATACTTATTTCATTTATTCATTTATTTATTATCTTTTTTTTTGTTCCTTTTTGTTGTTGTTGCTTTCTGTTGTTGTTCAATTGTTATTTTTCTCTCTTTTTTCGTGTTTTATCCTAGTACTCAAAGTAATTATTGAATTTGATTTTGGCACTCGAATGATTAGAGAGTGATCCGTAAAATACGATAAGAAATTATTATAATTTTAAAGGACTCCATTTAGGTTTATCTAAATGACCTAAAATAAAAAGCGTTTAAACGGTTTTCACTCAAATCGGACTAAGAACAGCATAAAAAACGATTTTCAATATATTTCAAAGTATATTTCTCTACTTTCTCTGCATATATTTCTATTTGAAATGCCCCAGTTCATTTATGTAAGAAATTCAGATGTTATGTTTTTAGGCTTTAAAACCTCAGTACAGTCCCTTTAAGTCTGTATAATTTTCTGTCTGAAAAAAAAACCTATTCTTTTCTTTTAGTTTATTCTTTTATTTAACTATTGGCCACAATACAAAAGCCCAAGCAATTCAGTAATATATTTGATACCTTTATTTTTCAACTGTAAATTTCTTTCTTTGTGGCTTTTTTAAAAGAATATTCGCATGGGATAATCGTAGAAGGAAATATTTCCAAAGTTTTAAATTTTGCACAATTATTTGAAAAAAGTTCAGTAGAAAAAGACAAGGACATTTTACATTTTTAATTTATTTTAAAAAAAGTAGCAGCTTATATTGTGACATTGTTGGTACTTCATACAAAGTGTGTATTTTTTATTGCGTTGGCTATTATAATATAATAAACTTTTCTATTTTGTTCTGTTTTTTTTTTTTTTTTTTTTTTTTTTTTTAAAGAATGTTTTATTCTATGACAGAAAATAAAAAAGGGCCACACGAGGTTCTTGTTATTAAATGGCTTCCAAATTTTTCGAACAATTAATGATTGTCCTAATGAGAATCATAATATTTCGGTCTTATATCATCTTTGTAAATGAAAAGAAATGAATATAGACAACATTTTGAAGTCCAGCATCCTTATTGTCAAAGAATTGTAAAACTAAGAAAATAGCGGGATAGCGGGGACTTTAACTTTTAGATACCTAAATCATTATCGTCAGCCAAAATACTTCAAGTAAATCAACCTTGAGGAAAAAGTAACACTTTTAAGAAATATAAAAAATAGATTCACAATGCGCGAAAGAATTTACATGACTGTTTGATAATGCAGTATTTATCAGCATATTTCTACTGTGTTATAACGCAGTAAGGGCTGTTTTTGCATTTCCGGGGCTATTGTTTTTGTGGTTCTTTTTTGGGGGGAGGGGGGGGTGCGTGGTGTGGTTTTTTGTGTTTTTGTAGTTTTTCTTATTTTTCGTAGATTTTAATTGCGTTTGCAATTTGTAAATTACTTTCTTTGTACACTTAACAACTTTGTTGAATTACGTGAGCTATTTGTCAATGCGAGAAACGTCTTTGCGTCTTACTAAATATTTCAGACTTTTATAAACTTTAGCACGGGCTGTGAGATTATAAGAGTCTTGATAAATGACCACACACTTGATCTACAAGTCGTTCATTTTCCCTTCCATTTTGGCCCCAAAAATTAACCAACGCATTGACCAGGAAGTACGGGACATGGACAGAAGTGCGGAGCACGAACATATGGTAGGTTCAAATTCTCGGCTCATTTTCCCAAGGGAGGACCGAGGACGGAGACGGTGCTGTAATGTGCCTGCGCATTACTCAATAACTTACAATATTAAGTTCCCATATCAAACAACGAAATAATATTATGATATTGTGTTCATATCGATTTTCTATCGTTGATGGAAAATAATTATGTGAAAATTTGGTGAAAATATAATGAAATATCTCATTGCTTTACAAATAGATATAATGCCCGTGAACAACTATTATTTATTGTTTATTAGCGGGTCGTTTAGGACATTCACAGTTACCATGTAAAAACCTATATTTAGAACATCATCAATGCACTCGCTGTTTTTTATCCTATTTATTGATTGTTGTTGTTTTTCATAAAAATATACAAATAAAAAGCTGTTTTTCACATGAAAATATATTCTTGAGTGTTATTTTATATTGAAATTTAAAATGCGATTTTCCCGGTTTTTTTTTATATTGAAATTGCCCTGACGAGACTTTAACATTTTGTATTGTCTTTCAATTTTACATCATAGCTAATTCATGTGTACACAATTGAATCATAAAAAGACATTCGTTCGTTCGTTTGTTCCCCCCCCCCCTCACTCACACAACCACTCATTCGCGATCAGGGAATATCTACCTGATACATATCGTATATAATTGTTACGAGAATTAAACGAAATTTCACGGAAATAAATTGTTGAAATGTTTTCATTATGCTATTAACATTTTGTGTATTAACTAGTACACCGTTCGTGGTATTCACTGTATGCTTTATCTTATAATTAGCCTTATATTTGATAATGTGTATATATATGAATTTTCAAACTGATTTTGATAATAGACTTTACAAATCAAAGAAACTGTGCCAACTTCTTTAGTGATTCAACATTTATAACTTACCGAATTTTATCAGTACCATTAAAAATAAAAAAAATTTCTGCTTTCAAATTGTCTTTTTTTCATGTAAGTAAAAGTTTTGGATTTTCCATTGGCCTAGTGTTTTTTCGCGTTTTATTCATAAATGCCCGTATTCAAGTTAAATAATAAAAAAATTATATGTCAAAAATCATACATTAAGAGTTCTTAAGAATTAAGGCTTTAATTGAATTTTCGTTCTGATATAAATACGTACGACTTGTCATTGCATAGACGAAAGTTTAATCTTACTACAATAAACACTGAAATTATTATCATTATTCTCCAATCATAACACTTTCATTTATTTAAAATATTTATTTATCTTTCATTTATTTATCATCTTATTATATTATTATTATTATTATTATTATTATTGTTGTTGTTGTCGTTGTTGTTATTGTTAATTATTGTCGTGTAATACTGATACATTACAATCATGTACCTATTAATTCAAATATGATACATAAATAACTATATACATTTCACGATTTTTGTACATATAGTATATTTTAGTCCTTCCAAAATATTTCAGTACCATACATTTATCATATATTTTGCATTAAAAACATTTCAAAATAAAAATACTTTTAATCATGTACTGCAAACTTGGAAACTACAAAAACGAGAGAGTAAAAATGTACATAACATTTCACGCATAAAAAAACAACACAAAAAGCTGTTGACGTTATACATTTATATATACATTATTTAGGCCAGAAGATTTGAGCTTTTAAGATATTTAGAGCATAATGAATGTTTTTAAATAACGGATGATTATCTGTATTGATGCAAATAATCTATAGTATTTATATTCAGATCGATCTAACGCGTGGATAAGTTTTAACTTTATGAAAACCTAATGTTTTCAAATATAGCGAATTCTCAAATTTACAGTTTAGTTTAGTTTTAGTTTAATCATATTTTATTGCTAATATATACATGTAATGTACAGAGAAACACATTGATTTCGAAATAACAAATAGCAAAAGGGTTGGGCCAAAGTTCTTACAACATTGGCGATCGGCCCTCCCCATAAATTTACAACGAAGCGAACCAAAGACTTTTTGTCACATGTACTGGGCAATAATTTGCGTAAAAGAATTCCTATAAAACTTTATTTTATATATTGATATATAAGATATTCAAGACCGACGTTAGGTTTATAATGTACATGCATTATTGTGTTTAAAATGCGCAAGTTAATTACTTGTAAAAGACTTCAAACTTCAAACTTTTATTTCCACATTAGGTTTACATCAAGTAAACAACAAAAGCATCGTTGTATAATAATTACAGTGAAATAGTTGAACTAGTCTGTTTCGCTCTTTTATTTCTCCCTTGTCGGGTTAGACGATTATTTCATCATTCAATTTAACAGAAAAGGGCCAATCACTGCGGTCATTTGAATTCACAGGATAAAAATAGAAAGGTGTTTGACTGATGATAATAAATGGATTAAGGTAATCCTGATTAATCCGACTTTATCCGAATCATTCCGAATGACCCGTCTTTCTTCTTCAATTGCAAGTTGTTTACATTGATGATACATCTTAACTGCTTCTGAATGTGTTGACAATACGTAAAAAAGAAACATCATTATGCATGATTTATATCCGTGTTTTTAAATGAACGTAATTATTGTAATTCATTTTTTTTCTGTATTTTAATCTAAGGCCGGTTATTTCATTATAAGATATGCGAGATAATCCCTTGCAGTGTTAGAACAGAACATAACATACATTTCATTCATATACAACAATAAATTCATTTAAATATGAAAAATTGTAACGCATATCAATAAATGACCGAGTTGTGTCTTATAATAAATGATTAAGAAAATTTGTAATATTTATAATGCTTACATTTAATTGAACAATATTATAAATGTAAACTGGAATCATGAAATATGATAGATAATCGCTTGTACAATGTTAAGAATTGCTTCTTTTATCATTATTATTATTATTTTTTTTTTGATAAAAAAAAAAAACAACAAAAAAACATACTTTTTGTTGAAATAATGATAAATGTATTGCATATATTAAAGGAACTTCACTAAGGTCCAAAGAACACATAAAAACATAAACTTTGAATTTCTTACATAGGTCAGCATTGGCAGTTGAAACATGCAAAAGAATTAAGAAATGATAACAGAAGTATATTAAGAATCCAAGTTTATGCTATTCTTTTACCGACTGGAGAGAAAAGAGCTGCAAAGCTTATCATTTTAGGATATTTTTTTTCACAATGTGAATAATTATTCTGAAAAAAAAACGGAGCAAACGGATGATGTATACTTTTGCACACAAATTTTATGACTAGACCATCATTAAATATAACGTTTATCTCAAAAATTATTTTAAAATCCCGTCATTTCAAATAACTTCAGTGGGGTCCCTTTCAATTTTAATGTATAATATGTTGCTTCTTGTTTGAAAGTTAAATTAAATGTACTATGATGATGTGATTCAACATGGTGCCTTAAGTCAAAGTACTTTATTTTCTGTTCTCTGATAAATAAAGAAGACCACTTTATACACTATAGTTTCTTCAAACGACCGGTGGAACGGTTTTGATTTAAACATTATTTCTAAGAAAAAGTGTGCGGGTTATCTGAACTGTTATCGAGGCCGCTTTTTGGAACTAACCAGTGCGGCTTGCGTCATAACAATTAGAGGAAACATGGTCGAGACGACAGAAGAGTTTGAACCTTAGATCTCTGTGCTAGGCTGCCGCTCACCTTAAATTGAATAATTTTTGAAAGTACATTTTTGTTAAAATGTGCATTATTTTCTTGCAAAACATTTATGTACATCATGAATGCTAATTTCCAGCATTAAAAAAGAACAACATTTTTTTAAACTTATGTAGCATTGCTCAAATACATTAAATCAGCATTGTCATAGAATTGAATAGATAAACAAAATATACATTTATTTATTCCCAACATCATTGCTTTATAAATAACGGTACTCCAAGTCTAATAATGAAGAGCGAATCTCATTTACTATATTACCCAAAATTGATATATTTCCTGTTCTTTTCATATTAATTTTAAATCTATCTGACAAAACTTTAGATTGTTTAATTTTTTACAAGATACAAGAAATACATCAACATTTTTTTTACAAAAACTAAGCAATGTGAATACATATTCATTATATAAAATTAATAATATATTAATAAGCAACACTTTTATAATGGAAAATGGTTTGCTTTCTTTCCGAATTAAGATTAATTGATTATAATAAAGATAATTCTGTTTCTGTGTTTAAAATTATTGTTGTGCAATATAGAATTGCAGGATTTCAAATGAATCATAACACATTTATCTGAAATGAAATCAAATCAACTGAATTTTATCAGTCTAGTAAATTGACAGTTTTATAAAAATAATTTTAAGCGCTAAATTGGTTGCGCAAAGTTATTTTCGTAAATGCTACTATATAAAACATTAATCTATTGCCGAGAAAAAATAGTTAAATTTTTATTTGCGCGTTTGTTTGAGCTATATTCAACGGTTTCCGGCGGTAATGTTGGTAAACCTGCACAATCAGTATAAATTATATATTAACTGAGTATTACTTAAGTTATCATTTTCTGTTACTTTGTTTTGTTTGTTTGTTTTGTTTGATTGTTTCATTTTACGCCTTTTTCCAACAGTATTTCAGTCATATAGGCGGGTAGTTTCCTAACCATCGTTCCTGGAGAGTTACACCAGTACTAGACTACCTTCCTCCGCGCCAAACTACCAAAGTATCTCCCGGGGATCGAACCCACGAGAGGTAACTGGATTAGAAGTCATCGACTCTAACGACCACGGAGGCGGCTTTTACTTTGTTTTAACGTTGCAATGTTATGAAAGAAAGTAGAAGAAAGCTTAATTTCCAGTTATACTCGCTGATAGATACTATGTTCTGGCTCATTTGGGCGTTCGGGACTTTGGGTATATATAGAAAATTCAATTTTCAAGGTGAAAAAAACATTAAAATGGTTAGCATCGTTGTTAGGCGAATCATATCATTTTGTATAAGTGACATAATTTGAATTTACCTTCCTTGTTTTGTTATAATCATTTCGCAAGTGTGTTGATGAAATTTTGTCCAAAGGTCCCTGTTACACAGATAAACGCAAATACTTCCGTGTGGGTAGAAGCCGGCGGCCGGGCTCGGCTGTACACATCCCAGCGGCATTAATCCCGGTGGTGAATGTCCAATGGCTGGTGACATTTGCCCGTGGTAATACATCTGACCAACGTTAAAAGCATCTGAATACATTTGGTAGGCTGGATTCTGTCGATGGAATGGAGTTGGGTACGTAACGTTATTTCCGTAGACAGATTTTGCGTACTCGCCGTTGCCTGTGTGAAAATTCGGAATAGAGGCATACTGAGCGGCTTGCGAAATTACAGAAAACTTTCTGCACGACTGGTAGTCCATGATTTGGTTTTGCACTTGGATATTTCCAGCTGGCTTTCTACAGGAGCTGTAGTCATTTCTTATATTTTCTTCTTCGCTCGCTTCTTCGTTAGATGTCCCAACAGTATTATTTTCACCCAATGTTTCATAAACGTTATATTCAGAGTCGACATTTCCGGCATCAGGATTCGAGTAACTACAATCATATCCCTTAAATGTTGCCGGGACACTGGTATATCCGGAATAATCTTGAAAACTATCAGCGTGGCTCTCTCCATTTCTCCGTACGTCGGAATATGTTGAAAATGAATTATTCAAGGGCATTTCGCAGTTAAGTCCTTCAGAACGCAACATTGTTGCGTATTTTTGACTATATTTATCGTGTTTAACGCTCTACCCGACAAAGTGAGGATTCGACTCAAAAAGGACAAAAAATGTGCAAATAGCTATCCACACTCCACAAGCGGTCTGTGAAATCCTTACACGATGAAAACAAATGTTTATAGCATAAACATCGCCTGTGCGTAACAAAAATTATTCCGACTTACGGAAGCGCAGTTCCAAAAAAACTGAATGAAATGATTTAAATAAAAGAGTAATTCCAAAATTGTATGATTTTATATCTATATCGCAGCTATTGTTCTGACTATTATGTTGATATATTACATGAAAAAAAAAATGATAGTGCTATGGAATAAAAAAAAAGTTGGGCGTATTTGGAATTCTTCAATTTGATTGGCTAACAAAGGCCATGCAAAGGTTAGATGCGCAGTAATTGCTGAAGAGGTCACGTGGTAGACAGAAATTAAGGTAAGTGCGAAATACAAAGGTAGCTCTTTTGAAAACATAAATTGGTCTTTTTCGTCGGTCAATATTTGTTGAAAAGAGTTTTCGTGGTTGTTTTGTTAGTAATTGGATTCCGTGGTCATTTGACTGCCAGATTAGCTCTGTGTTCGGTTCAATATTTATACAAAATGGTCAATTATTAAATGACAGCAACCTGACCACTCGGTTAGACATTATGACAAAATCAGTCATGATTCACATGTTGCTACATAGTATACAAATTAAATGACAAAAAATTATACTGTTTTATATTTGATCAATAAAATATAATAATACTGAATACAGCTGTTCTTAGAAGAAGGGGAAAATCTGTAGTAATGTATTTAAACAAAAGCCACTACTAAATAAATAGTACATTCAATGTAGACTAATTAATATATAAAATTATAAACATTTTGCACAATGGATATTTCTTCTGATTATCTAAAAATTCTCTATATTATTTAAAATAAGCCTCGACGAAAACGTAAATTAGATAAGCATATGCAAATATGCCCATGTCTATTTGTCAGTGATAATACGTAAGCAATTGTAAGTAAACATATATTTTTTAAATATCTAAACGAATTCACAATATAATAATGTAACAGTATAATGAACATGTAATCTGGTTTGAACTAAATTTCTTGGCAACTGCATTAATAAGACCGTTAGAAACTGTTAACGAAAATAATAAAATGAGAGTTTAACACAAAAAGATTATTACTGAAATTAATTTGAAAATGAAAACAACTTGACTTTTCCCGCCAATAATAAAAACTTTCACATATCCTGGCTAAAATTATATTAAATGGACTTTTTTACATGGTGGGATTGGAAATAATTTTTCGAGGTTAACATTCCATTTTATGAAGATCTACGCCAATGCCTTGGTTGCAAAGTTTCAGATCATTCGCTTATACTGGTTTGCAAAAATTATTATTCCAGATGTGGAATATGACCAAAAATTGAAAAGCTTTGCACTCAAATCGGCCTTCGAATAGCACAAAAATACGAATTTTAATATAATATTTTAAGTATATTTTGAATAGCTTCAGAATTTGTTTATGTGCCATAGCTTATCTACAAGTCCCTTTGAATTTAAATCATATAAACTTAAAGCCAAATTTTTGCGGTGCAATTGTCATCACTCGAAGTATAATTCGACAGCAAATATTACATTACAACACAATGGTTGCTTGGCTACAAGAAAACTTGTAACCTGACGATCCGCATGACCTTTTATTTTTGTTAGGGCTTCACTATATACAGGTCAAATTGCGACTTTCTACGTAGTTTACTGTTGGAGGAAAACCTAACGTGACTCCTCCGTGCATTATTCAGGCACGAACGGGTATCTGAGTAGAACAAGAGACGTTCCGTAGGCTACCTTGATAGCTTCCTCACATTCCAGAATCCAAATTCCCTTGCGGGATTCGTACATACAGCGACGAGACGCAAACTGTTAAAAGTGAACGGCCTTAGCAATTTGGAAACGGACGGAACCTAAAATGAGCACCAGGCTTTCAAAAGTGACAAAAGAAATGAGCATACATAGTTAAATGTATATTGAGTTTATCTCTTAGTGTTTTTTAACGCTGTCATTTTTTATGAATTACGTCATAAAACCCTTTGAGAAAGTGAGTATGCGAAACATCCAGATGGTGATCCAAATGACGTTCTATTTTCATGGTTTTGATTGGCCTTTATGCACTTGTTTGATAGTATACTGCTTTTTCATTCATTAAATCATTGAGTACAAAATTATTGAGTTTTCTTGGACGATAGAACAGAATACAATGTAGAATAAAATTGAATAAAAAATAAGTTTGGTACATATTTCACACAACCAATACCTTAGTGGAGAACAAAACGAATTAAATTAAAGTAAAAAAAACAGGAGTGCTTTTGTTTAATATCAGAAATACAGTTACAAAATGTACTTCGGGTACATTATGGGTTTGATATGGAATTGATGGACTCGGAATTAAACGAGGCTAGACAGAATACAATATGGAATTGAAATGGAATATTTGGACCCGGATGAATTACAATTTACATTAGATACGGATTATTGGACTCCGCAGACTTAAACGACGCTGGTTTCTTTTTTTATAAGACGTGAAATAAAAAGAAATAATTGTATTGTTTTTGCAGGTGGATATAGCCTGATTTTAAACAGAAATAAAAGCGTCCCTTTACTTTAATTCCCAGTTGTTTTTTTAATCTGTGTTGAATTTCTCTATAATATTTAATGTTTAATTACAGTTGTTTCTGCAGGCGTAGATATGAGCCATAATGTTTTAAGAAAATTAAACTTGAAAAAATATACTACGATTTAAAGAAAAGTAAAACAATTCAAGATTCAAGAAACAATCTTTTTGTTGTTAAAGACAGGCTTTTTTTAAAGACTATCTTTTCTACTGCGTGACTGACGCAGTCATGGCTATTCTTACAATTTACGTGGATTGTCAGTGTAAAATACTCTTTTTTAATTTCAAAATGGTTTACTATTAAATAAATTTTCATTGTTTTTTTTTTTGTGTGTTTTGAAAAATTTGCGTGAATCTGGAGCCATGCTGCTTTAACGTTCTTGTGAACGATAAGCTACCGATAATACCCTACAAGACATTTCACTTTTTAATGGTATTTTGCCATTCGTATTTATTGTCTTGCATAATAGTAAATAGAGTATACATTTAAATATCCTTTTAATTTTGATCAGTTATGATCTTTATAGTATAAAATTCTAAATTTATTACCATATTTAAAGTATTCTATAATTTCAAATAGGACTAGTATTTAGTCATTCGTGTTATTATTTTCCCATTATTTCATTTGTAAATTGAGCGCGTACCTTTAAGCCGTTCTATAAATAAATACGAGATTTTATTTATCCATAGACGTAATACAGTTGAACTTTAAAACAAACATGGTACTAAAGTTTATTATATATTAAAGTAATTGACTTTAAAAGTATAGAGTAAAACCGTTTTACTGGTAGGCTTAAAAGCCTATGGAATAACACATTTAGTATACATACACTACACATATTCTAGGATATTTAAATATAAGAAATAAACCAAAATGGTAAGACATACTTATTCAATGTTTTAACAAAATCATTTATATTTTTTGTTAATTTAAAATAGACTTTATCAATAAATTGAATTAAAATTATATTTTTATCTACGGGCTGTTAAAATTATTTATTTATAATTTATTCCTAGACGAACGGGGGGGGGGGGGGGTACTAATATCGTTGACCCCCCCCCTCCCGACACACACAGGGAAAAATAAATATTAAATAAATGAAAGCAAGAAGAAATATGAATAAATAAATGAATGAATGAATGAATGAATAAATGAGTGAGTGAGTGTGTGAGTGAGTGAGTGAGTGAGTGAGTGAGTGAGTGAGTGAGTGAGTGAGTGAGTGAGTGAGTGAGTGAGTGAGTGAGTGAGTGAGTGAGTGAGTGAGTGAGTGAGTGAGTGAGTGAGTGAGTGAGTGAGTGAGTGAGTGAGTGAGTGAGTGAGTGAGTGAGTGAGTGAGTGAGTGAGTGAGTGAGTGAGTGAGTGAGTGAGTGAGTGAGTGAGTGAGTGAGTGAGTGAGTGAGTGAGTGAGTGAGTGAGTGAGTGAGTGAGTGAGTGAGTGAGTGAGTGAGTGAGTGAGTGAGTGAGTGAGTGAGTGAGTGAGTGAGTGAGTGAGTGAGTGAGTGAGTGGTACTACAAAATGATAATAATAATATAAAATATTATGTATTTGTTTATCTATTTATGAAATAAAAATAGTCAAAATAAAAGAATGAAAAAATTAAGATAGAGACAAGCTTAAGACGTATCAAAAGATAGTCACTTATAATTATACTTTATCAGTTTTGATTTTCCTTATAATTTTGAAGGCACATTATGGTTTAATTTATATTATGTTTAGTTTCTTGTTTAAACACGAAAAACGTGAGTTTTATAATGTGAAAGTGATGTTTCTAGAACATTTCAGTTGCTTGTCACCTTAAGAAAGGAGCGCTTAATTTCAAATTATTAATATGTCATCATAGTAGCAGGGGGGGGGGAGGGGGGCGGGTACTTTCATACAAAATCTCTATAACTGCACTTACTGCCAATAACCAACTGCAGATAATGATGGTTCAGGTTTCTGGCCAACGATTGACGTTTTTGGCTGTAACATATATTTATTTCCTTTTAAGGTTATTTCTTTTACCTTTTTGTATTTATTTGTTTTTTAATATATGCTATATACACGTAAATTCAGGGGAGACAACTTCTTTTTTCGTCGAATGATCTACATTGTGTGTACACAAACATTACAAAACATTATAAGAAGAATGAAAAATCTTGTAACATTTACTTAAATGTAAATCCGCATTACTACTGTAATGAACTTATTATTGTAACGCAAAGATCATAAATAAATTAAGCGGAAAGGAAACGGACGCATTAATTCCTTGCGGGTCAATGCTCACGACAACGATTTAAAAACCTTGTCTGATGAACGAGTTAAGGGGGTCAGTGATTATGTACACGTGATTTGATTTAAATCTCATTTAGCTACCTAATTTACTGACAGTTAAAAAGAGAAATTTAATGAATTAGTTATGACATTGTCATTTTTAGTAATTGGTTGAATAATTCATTGAAAGAAATATAAGAGCTTATTCAGTGTTTACTTTTCTTTTCCTGATTTTCATGACGTTTTTTATCGATTGTCTTGATTTGTCAAAAGTGATTTATAACAAAAATATTTATATTTTACAAGATTATTGTGACGCTTGACTTAGGTTATATCGTGTCGACATGCGCAAGACACATGTTTAATTATGCGGTTGAGGGGGGGGGGGGGGGGGGGCGGGGCGTCCTTTAACGTACAATAACAGCAAAGTATAGAGGGAACAAAGTGCCATATGCTAGATATTTTTTTTTCTTTTATTTTTTTTTTTGTTTGTTTTTGTTTTTTTTATTATTTTGCTTTGAGTCACTGGTTTTTTGTTATACTGGTATGATTGTTTGAACATCATTTCACACAAGATTTATAATTCGTCGAATATTCAATACGAAAATTATGTATGAGCGACACAGATAAAATATAACAGCACTTATTTTTCTGTCCAAAAGAAAAAAGTCATGACGACTGCTGGACATCTTGGAAAGTCACGATAGAATCAGTTCAATAGATAAGCCGCGTCATGACAAAACCAACTCTAGTGGGTTTGCGACCAGCATGGAACCAGACCAGCCCGCGCATCCGCGCAGTCTGATCAGGATCCATGCTGTTTGCTGTCAGTATTTGTATTTTCTGATCGCAGATCAGATAATACATAGCTAACATCCACGGTCTAACACAAAATTTCCTAACAGTCCTAACAACGCAAATTAGTTCTCACTCAAAACTGCTTAAAAACCAGCAATTTAAAAGAAAGAACATTTTTTTATTACATGTGTCAAACATATTAAAAATCACTTTCGAACTTTTAAAGTAGCGTTGGCTTATAGAGTTGTCAATAAATGTACACTCACAAATTACGCGGATGAATATGAATTTAATCAATGAAAATGCTATTTAAGCGATGTCGATTAGATTCTACCGAATATTACACAAATTAATCTGAGTTGAATATATAGTTTCTACATGTTGGACTGTTTGGGCGAGAAGATTTATGCTAAATTATTTACTTCAATTTTAAACAACAGGTTTACCCTGAACAAAATACCTCGAAATTACCCTATTTTTAATTCTTTTTTTAGTGTCTTTGTTAAGGAAATAGCCACGATTTGCAAGGATAAAGATGAACATAAATTATTTTTTGATGCAACTCTAGTTATGCAAAATTCCGCATGTGCCCTGCAAGATGACTTATAGTACATAAAAATAAACTTATACAGGAAAACACATACAGATATACAGTACGATTTAGATTCCAGGGATCAGAAAATACCACAGAGCTTGCAGCCCTTTGATTTCAATTGTAATAGAGTTGGTAAGCGAACAGCATGGATCCTGATCAGAATGCGCGGATGCGCAGGCTGGTCTGGATACATGTTGGTCGCAAACCCACAATGTTGGTTTTGGTCGTGACGCGGCCTCAGATCATTATATCCACGTTTTTAATAACATGTTAATCCTGATTAAAGGTTTACACCTTAAATACAGTCATAACACGCAGTAACTATACAGCCAAAGTTACTCGAAATGACCAAACTTATTCTTTTTATTTATAAGTGGAGGATGTTTTATCAATTTTTTTTTATAAAATATATGTTTTAATCAATTACATGTATTATGAAATTTTCCATTGAGCAAGACTTGTTACCTTGTTATTGTTCTGTTGACTCTCTTATAATCACTATAAGACACGGAAAATGCCGATATATGTCGACTTTTCACGAGCTTAATATATATAGATCTTATGTCGGTAAACACATTTCATTGGACACGACAACTGAATAAATAAATGTACATGTTATATACAAAATGTCTTTGCAGCAACGAGTAATCTACTTTATTTTATTATGATATTTTTATATATCTTATTCATTTTTTGGGTACAATACAGACATAAAAAATGTTCTATGGTCCATGTTTTCTATTTCAGGCTACGGAGGGGAAAAAGGTTAAATCTGACAAAGAAAAGGAAGAGTTTGAAAAACGTAAGTAATGGAATATTAAATGACAATTGACATGATAAAAATATAACAAGACGATGATCAGAATAGGATGCTAAAAACAATTAACAGGATTAGAATACTAAATGACGATAAACAGGTTGGAATTATTAAATGACGGTTATCATAAACAGGAAACTAAATGACGAAGAATAGGTCAGAATACTAAATGACGATAAACAGGATGGAATTACTAAATAATGGTTAACAGGATGGGAATACCAAATGACGATGATCAAGTCATAATACTTAATGACGATAAACAGGATGAAATTACTAAATGATGATTAACAGGATGGGGAAACAAAATGACAATGAACAGGTCTGAATACTAAATGACGATAAACAGGATGGAATTACTAAATGATGGTTAACAGGAAGGGAATATCAAATGAAGATGGACAGGTAAGAATACTAAATGACGATAAACAGGATGGAATAACTAAATAATGGTTAACAGAACGGGAATACCAAATGACGATGAACAGGTAAGAACACTAAATGACGATAAACCGGATGGAATTACTAAATGATGGTTAACAGGATGGGAATACCAAATGACGATGAACAGGTAAGAATACTAAATGACGACAAACAGGATGGAATTACTAAATAATGGTTAACAGAACGGGAATACCAAATGACGATGAACAGGTAAGAACACCAAATGACGATAAACAGGATGGAATTACTAAATGAGGGTTAACAGGATGGGAATACTAAATGACGATGGACTGGATATGAAAACTAAATGACGATGAACGAAATAGAAATACTAAATAAATGACGATGTACATGATAAAAAACTAAATAACGATGAACGGGAGGATTCGGCCAAGCAATCATTTCAAATCGATAATGAATAAATTTTGGAACATTGATAAGTTGAAGTAACTGGACATCATTACTGTATGTTAATTCTTATCTTTATTTTACTTGATTTGTCATTTCTGAGTTAGTAGAACTATACATAATAATTAATTTTTCACGAAAAGAATAAGGTCTTATATAACAATTAAACAAAATTGCCTCTGCTTTATGAATACATTTTGTAATTATTGTATTTCAGAAATTAAGGACATGTTTAAGCTTTTTGACAAAAATGGAGACAATAATATTTCTACGGCTGAGATGGGGAAAGTTTTACGGACAATGGGATTTCAAATGACTAATAAGGAAATTAGAGCAGCAGTAAAACAGATCGACACGAATGGTTTGTTTGTTTGTTTAACCATTTATTTTATCTATTTATTTAAATATATTCATTTCTTTATATGCTTACATAATTATGTATGTATTATTATAAAATATATACACATAAAAAACAAAAAGTTATACCAACGGTTAAGAAATGTCGTGATATTTCAACATCATAAGAATCACTTTATGACGTCATGTAAGTATGAAAAAGCAGACGACAAATGACCAATTATGGTAACTTTCTTATTTTGAAATCTGGTAATATAAGGTCCGTACCGATATTGCCTGGATTGACGGATGTACCTTGACTAGGATTCAAAACAGTACCTGCCTGCCATGTATATACATGTACGTGTTGCGAAAAAGTACGTTGCAGATTGTTTTCTAATTATATAATTATTAGATCTATATACATGCATTTTCAAAAGATAGGAACATGTTTTTGTTTGTTGTTTTTTTTCAAATAATGAGGGTGTTTGACTCTTATTGACTCTAATATACTAAAAAAAATTATGATTTCTTAAATTCATAGACTCATTAAAGAAGCATATATAGAAAAAACAAATGTTTCACGCTTTTTTTTCTGTTTTGCTTTATTGTTTTTGTGTGGGTGCTTTTAATGTTTAGCCTAATTGTTTGATAAAAATGTTAAATAGCAAATAACAGTAAACTATTGTATTTTTTCATGTCATTGAAAGGTACTGTATTTGTTTGTCTATTATATTTACAAAAGGGAACGGAACTATTGAATATGGAGAATTTAGAAGTTTCCTTGTTAAACAGTTTAAAAATTCCAAATCCGAAGAGGATTCTCGTCAAGAAATTCGCCAGGCCTTCCGGATATTCGACAGGGACGGCAACGGTTATATAGAAAAACCGGAATTAAGGTACGGTACTCGGATTATATTTCGTTTTATAATATACATGTGCATGTGCTTAAAATGAGAAATAATCAAAATAAACATGTTTTGTTTCCGGGAAATATCTCAAAACTGCAAATAATTTTAATATAGATTCATAAATGTTTAAAACATTTAAAGTTTGAATATTTCAAAATACCAAGATATATAGTTCCTATCAGGGTCTTTCAAATAGAACTTTTGGAAAAAGGATAAATATTTCAGGAAATGATGTTTTTTAAAGCCATCTTTGTTAAAAAACATAGATTGTTTGTTCAGAATATTTGCCGATAATCGGCGCCATTTTGAAAATGCACCAAATTAAACATCAAATATTTGCAAAAAATATCTTGAAATATTATAATATTTTTACATGATACGATTTAATAACATCTTTTTCTCTGTAAAATCAATTTTTTATTTTGTCATTGAACAATGCATAAATTAAAAAAAACTCATGAAACTGGACCTATTTTCAAATATGAGCTGTAGATTTTTACCTTGACACCGGGAACGAAAAATTTCTAATTTCATTGCAAATCTATAAAGTTGTTAGTTTTAAAGTAAAAACTGATAATATAATGTAGTCAGAGTTAGTTTTTAGTATTTTTTTTGATTGATTTAACAAAATATTATCTTATAATTTGATTTTTGAATGGTGCTGTGCTATGCCATATCACGTGACTCAACCGAGACAGCATTTTTTGTAAAATTGGTCTGTCTCCAGACCATTCTATTTGAAAGACCCTGTTCCTGTATATAGTCTTGAAAAAAATCATGAACGTACTTTTAGGGTCATAAAATCAATTACGTCATTGTAAGCTTAGTACCTTCAGGGTTGACATATAAATTTAGGCTCAATTTGTCTAGGTGGACAAAAAAAGATCTTTTTAGTCGAAAAACAAAAAGCACGTGAAGGACATGTATATAAATAAGGGATCCATAAAGACGCGTTTGCACCTTTTGTCATTAATCACGATTCACCTTTCTGTGATAGACATAACACAAATGCGTAATTTTATACTTACTTACAGTCATGCGGATATAAGTGCCAACCAAACAGGCGACTTCTATAAAAAAAAGTGCTAGATATTCTATATATAGATAGAAAACAAGTTGAAGTTTCAGGGGAAACAACAACAACAAAAAATGTGACCGGTGATACGTTATTTTTCACACATCATATATGTATGACATGTGTGTGAAACGCACGATTTTAGCATTCTCACGTTTTACACGTTGCATTCTCTTTCTCTTTCGCCCACATTTTACATTTTCTATTTTTTTATGTTTAACCTTTCACACAAGACTTATGTCTTGGTGTTTTTTTTTTGTAAAATAAAAGCGAGAAATTTATGCGTTTTACATGTTTATAAAAGATGTGCGTTCAAGATACATGTATACAAATCTATAATAAACACAACAGTTTTTAAGGAAATACATTAATTGATAAAAAAATGTTTGAAAAGTAACTTGTCACCAATTTCTTACGTCGTTTATAACTAAATTTGGTTTCATTTCTTATTTTGTCTTTATTTACGCCGAAATAATTGTTCTTGTCACAATAAAAGAGACTTATTTTGGCGTAGCCTCCATTTTGAAGTCACATGTCAGGGGGGGGGGGGGGGGGGGGGGGGGGGGGGGGGTCATGATCCTCCTTGGATTTTGAGTCCTATATGTCCTCTGTTATTTAAATATCAAGCGAATGTCACTCAAAAGCTTGTGAATTTTTTTATTTAATTCATTATAAATATGTAGTCATGAATTCCTCTGAATTTTTTTTTAAATGTAAATCCATCTTTTGGATATGCATTTAATTCACATATTGTCAGAATTTTGCGACTTTCTCTGGATTCACGTCTTTCGTTTATCCAAATTGACTTCAATTGAATAACTTGATGACAAACATGCGTGAGTTCAGACTCAACCAAACCGAGTGTGCAATTTTCGTGTAATTTTGTTTGTTTCAATGCTTCCGGGGGATCATCCATTATTCCAGATTTCCAACATGCTGTGTAGTTTTAGAATCTTTAATTGCCTATATCACACTATTTTTCCGAGTTATATCTCCTGGCCAAGAGATAACAAGAATAAAAATAGACTGACCCCTATGCTTCCGGAGTTAAAGTTTATTTCATTTTTTTTTCTTTATAGACGGGCCATGAAGACAATGGGAGAACCACTTACAGAAACGGAACTCGACATAATGATGAAGGACGCAGATAAAAATAAAGACGGAAAAATTGATTATGAAGGTAATGATTAAACTCAAAATAAAAGACTGAGTAATAAGGTAACTGTTATAGACATAAACAGTTTTTGCTCTATTACTTATTTATCTATGGTGGCTAATTTGTGCCATTTGGTATTTTCGCTCCAAACACGAAAATACGTCAAATTCAACATTTTGTCGTACTTTCGCTCAACGGGGCGCAAAGGTGAAACAGGACAAAATGGTGAGTGTCATATTATCGTGTTTCCGCCATGCATTTTTTTTCCAGTTGATGGGTTACATTTAATTTACAGGTTTTGTTCAATTAGGACAATGCAGCGATTATTATAACTCGATTTTTTCTTTAAAATATACTAACATAAAACAATTTCGTGTTTTCACAGTCGTACTTTCGATATTTCAACATCCTTGTTTCGTTATTTTGATTTTTCACCATCGTACTTTCGACTTGTCATCATCGTACTTTCGACTTGTCATCATCGTGGCTTCGTCTTTTCATCGTCGTACTTTCGACATTTCATCATCGTGGTTTCGTCTTTTAATCATCGTACTTTTGACTTTTTAGCATCGTAGTTTCGTCTTTTAATCATCGTACTTTCGACTTTTCATCATCGTGGTTTCGTCTTTTAATCATCGTACTTTCTACTTTTCACCATCGTGTAGTTTCGACTTTTCATCATCATACTTTCGATTTATTACTAATATAAATTATGCACATGGGTCACGCCCGCAAAGAACAACGCATTGTTAATAACGCACTTTTCTTCTAATTTCAGCTAAACTACACCTTAAATATTATTAATTTGTTATCGATCAGTAATTGGCTTTCCTTCATTTCAGAATTTGTGATTTTATGGACAAGCAAGACAAAAGAACTGAAAGAACAATCGAAAAAGGTGGGAAAATGAAATCACTGTTACAGTGGAAAAACAACTGTTGTCTTGTGTTTGTGTTGTGTCCGTATCCATGCATACTCTTAATTATTTTGTTACATGCAGTTTATAATGTAAATAAAATAAGAAACAAAAAACGAAGACCTTGTTTCCTTTTAATAATTAAACAGATATAGGACAAACGGTCAATGAAAGACATATAAACATTTGTAACAAATGCAATGACATATTAGCAAAGTACATTTTACATGTAATAAAATGGTTCTGATGCATTCCGTGGCGAAAGTTCGTAAAAATTCGGCAAATTTAGGGTTGTTCCGTGTCTTGCAATGATGTCAAGAACGTCTCAAGACTGTTATCTATAAAATATTTATTGGTTGGGTTTTACGACCTCAGATGCCCTATCGTGCATTATTTCAGGCACGATCAGGATCTTTATCGACAATCCGTAATCGAGCTGGATATAGCTTTCTCACATAATAAAATCCAAAACCCTGTCGAGATTCGAACCAACAGCGGTGCAGAGTAGTAGATTGAGGTCAGCGACCATAATCACTCTGCCATGGACGCCTCATTTCACACGAAATATGGCTCAGAAAAATGAATATAATGATGACAATACAGTACAATAAATACGCGATATCAAACAATATTTGCGTATTTTATAAGCATCCTCATCATATTTTGATAGTAAAAAACAATATATTCTAATTTTAAGAGCCATTAAAGGAACTCCACTGAGACATAAAATAGCTCAGCTTTGGCACCTTAAACACAAAGATATCCAAAAGATAATTAATACTCGGAAATAAATTGAAAATCGTAACATGGAAAACGTTGCAACGCTTTTCAATTTTGGGTCATTCTTCACCATATGAAAAACTTTCTGGAAAAATGGAGTGAGTGAATGATCTGAAATTTTGCATACACATTATTGGTCTGGACCTACACCAAATGAAATATTAATCTCCAGTTCAATCGAGTCAAAAACTTCAGTGGAGCTCCTTTAAGGACACTTACCGTATTTATTTTATTCAGGACCAAGAAATATGACGAAAATAAGTCTAAATAGCATACCTGATAGTACGAAAAAGTGATATTCAGTTCCGATAACATTTTGATTGCACATTTTACATAATCTGTTTCCCCTGTCTTTTTCTATTGATGATAAATAGTATGATTTATTTAGTTTTGGGCCTCTTTTAAAAATACATGGAATGATAAATTAAATGAAAATCGTGAAATCTGTGTTGATCATAAGACTTTGCTATAAAATGTAGAAAGAATAAACGTGCTTGATGTAATGAAAGCACGTTACATAATCACTAAAACCTCTTACTTATAGTAAAAAAATATACACTATAGGCGAAACATGTGTAACTGTATAGATGTATTGTCTTTCAATTTTACATGGCTAATATATAGAACCGTGGAAGGTGTGGTGTTATTTGACAGTTTCCAGTCCGCATCACGGCAGTAAACCACTTTGAATTTACCAGAGCGCAGTTCAGCCACCACGTTATTCCTGGGCATACAGTCAAGCAGTTTACCAGAACTAGTAGCCTTCACTTTCACCTTCTGTAAAATCCAGAGTAGAGGTACGGTGCGAATGGCCGTTAAAAGGATTTCATGATCAATCACAAGTAAAGTGACTTGCACTGTCCGGGAATAAAACTCGGGTACCCCAAGCTTTCACTATTGACCTAATCGGACAGCTATTGAGGATTCTTGACAGTAAGGCTGATAAATAAGCATAGTAAACTGCAAAAACCAAAACAAAATTCATTGTTAGGTGGGTGGGTACATAAATTAAGTAGGAATCTGTAAGTATAAGGTGACTGGAAATACAATCGGATGTTTCCGTACATTGACTACATTCAAATTTAAGCAAATGTTGCACATACAGATTTAAAAGAAGAAAAAAATAATTATCACAATTTGCTTGGTTGAAACAACTCTTTTGACTTAACTCTTTTTTATCATCAATCCGAGTTTGTTGTGTTTTGTTAAATAGATTCATACGCTCCCAGCACTCGGCTTTTTCGAATCTCAACTAGTAATGGTATTGGTACAAGGGAAATAACTCCACCGCCAATAGTTGTCAGAATAAAAGACCATGCAAAGTTGTAGCCCTTGATAAATTGTCCATTATTTTTCTGTACTGCATATAGTACGACAGCTGACAAACATAAAGCTCCTGCAAGCAAATCAAAGTCAAAATATGAGAAATAAGAATATTTATTTTTAACAAAAAATGTTCCCGTGTGAGTTATTTAGTTATTTAAAGGCATTTAAATGCATAACGAAATGCTTTTTGTACTGATTTTAAGGATATTTTACAGATATTTATACGAAATTACGTGTGAGTTAAAATAAGTGATAGGTATATTTCCCTGCAGACTGTGTATGTGCGCTACCCGAAGTAGGCAGGGGCGAGGAGGCAAGTGTGCTAGGGTGCGTGAACCTCTAGCACAGAGTGACAGCTTCGTGACAGGCCATTTGCTGGCGTAACTGCCTTTTTCAGGGCTTCCTCCTTTTCATATTGTCTATACATTTAGGTTCTCATTGGGCGGATTGACTCTTATTTAACAAAGAATTAATAAATGTGCGAATCCTTTAAAAATTTAAAACACATAGTTTAAATATATGACCTCTTCACGACTATATCAGCTTGTAGTAGGTCAAATATACTTCTTTCGTTACTGCCAGCCACATAAGACAGTGTGGAAAGCTTATCTGAAGCAGTTAACTCCATAGTACCCAACAATTCTATTGTTTTAATAACTTTTATAAAATTATACAAATAACTTCAGTAATACCTGCTAAGACACATAAAATGATAGCTGCCCGGATTCTGGTCAGGTTTGCGTGTCCGTCTTCACGTTTGATGTAAAATATCAACAAGACAATGCAAAAAGCTTCCGCCACAACGGACATTATCACCAGTGCCCGAATCGCATTCATCCACGTTTCAAAATCTGAAAAACAAAAAGAAAGTTGAGAAATATGCATTGAAAGCATGTTAAAAGCATGCGCGAGAAAATACTACTTCCGGTTGATTTTTTATAGCGTAAAAAGGTCTATCGTACACATGGTACAGCATGTATCGAACATAAGGCATTCAACGTATTGAGGGACTTTTCACGCTGCTTTGCATTCTATACAAAACCACTCATTTATTTTCAGATTTAATTATCTACTTTAATAAGCACATTCTTCATGGAAATGCATGCTTGCAGGTTTTGTTAAGAATATGAGTATGTCAATTGATGATTCATTTGAATATACTTCATGAACTTAATTACATATACATGTATATATGAGCCGCGTCATGACAAAACCAACATAATGCGTTTGCGACCAGCATGGATCCAGACCAGTCAGCGCATCTGCGCGGTCTGATCAGGATTTATGTTGTTCGCTATAAGAAACTGATAGCGAACAGCATGGATCCTGATCAGATTGCGCGAATACGCAGGCTGGTCTGGATTCATGCTGGTCGCAAACCCATTATGTTGGTTTTGTCATGACCTTTATACATATAATATCTTAGAGTTTTCTTCAGTTTAAGAATACACCGAATACGTTCACAGAAACTGTTTCCACGGTCTAACCCGATGCCCTGGCCTGTGAATCTGGTCCATTGCTAACCATGTATTTCAGAACAACAACAACAACAACACCTAATCATTAAACATCCCTTTGCCTATTTCCTGCCGCATGTCACTCTACAATTCTCACAAAATTGGCGGGAACACACTTCAACATAATAATCTGTCTTTCACATTTCCTTTTACTTATAACTATTAAATCATAACAAGTGATAAAGTGCTACTTAAGACTATCGTTGCTTGCGTACGTAGCTTATCATAAAAATAAAGTCAACCCCCTCCCTTCTCCCCCAGCCCCATAAAAAGGAAAAAACGAACAAAATATAAATAATCATTAACAAAAAACAAATTTCAAATACAAGAAAACAACAACAACAAATAAAAGAAAAGCAAGCAAAAATCATTGATATGATTGTAAGGTACATGTATATAAATGTACATAAGAAAACGTGATTGTACGTGATGTAAACTTGCACGGGTAATCGGATACACAACAATCTCTAAAAAGACCAATGTTCGAATTAAGCCCCAGGTGTATTTATTGATAAGTCTACTGCACAAAGTGATAAAGAAATGTTTTGTTGTGATAACTATGAATACAAATATATATACGAAATGATTGAGTCTGTTTGGTAAAGAAAGAATATTAGTAAGTATCGTTTTATTAAAAAGTATACAACTTAAAGATGCATGCCTCCAGATGAGCGAAAATATTTCAATATAATCAAACCTGAGAAAAAAGTACTAAGATTTTTGGAAAAGTAAAAATATTCAGGATTCAAGTAATAATTTACATGTTATGTGCGATTAATGACTGATTTTTCAGAATTCATAACTATATTTCTACTGCGTTACTAACGCAGTAAGGGATATTTTTGCATATTTTGTCATCTATTTCGTAATTTACGTGGGTGGTAAGTGCCATTGATAATGTGCAAATTGCTTCCCTTTGGTTATTTCACTAAATAATACTATTAAACACATTTTCAAAATTTTCATGAAAATTAGCATGAATCTGGAGCGTGCTGCTTTAAATACGTATTTTTCAATTTTAGAAATGCATGTTACATTCCCCGGTCGTAGAATTTACACCACTGAATTCAATGAATTTATTCAGGACAAAATTAAATTAACATCAGTGGAATTGCAAAAATAAGTTCAATGTAACGTGCTATAAAAAAACAGTGTACATGTACAATGTAGTTAAAAGAGTCAAATTAGAAAAAAAGATGAACAAGTCCGAATTTAACTAGTTTGTAACAAGTAAGGGGAGCTGTGGCCCAGTGGTTAAAGTGTCTGCCTCTCAACCCATAGATCATGGATCGAGCCCTTAACCGGTTCACGACAATGTTTCTTCACATGACACCAGTACTGGTTGGTTCCAGGAAGCGGACCCGAAAGTGATTAATATAAGTTGCAAGAATTTGTTTCGCAATCGTGCTTAAACAGTTGAATAAGTATATTTAAACCACAACAACAGTAATTTTATGTGTAAATCTATATTTATGATGTAAACAAACTTAAAACACGTGTACATTAATTAATGAATGTACAAATCAAAAATTCACAATAAGAATGAAAACCCTTACAAAGGAAATGGAAGAAAAATATCAAGAAGGGAAACCAAAGTCCTCACAAACGAGCTGGAAGAAAATACCAAGAAGAGAAAATACTCTCCAAACGCTCAGCTAAGCATCACTGATGATGTTTCCGGGCTAAAATGTTACTTTAATGTTAGACGTACCTGCAAGGATATCCAGTTTCAAACACTTTACGGCACCGTCGGCGTGTGTCAGATAATAACAGTATTCCCATATTCCCTGGTAATGTCCATTCCTCGACAACCATTTCGGCGTTGACAAACCAACTATAGTTAAAACAGTGGCTACTGTCACGAAAAACAGCGACAACTTGGCGAACGATTTCAGCATATTGTATAATCACATGCGGGACTATTTAAAACAAACTCTCGAATACCGTAGCACAGAGGGTTACAATTTTATACGATCATTGCCTATCGATCTATGGTGTATGTACTTGTATCTACCAATAGCATACTTCGTGTGCGTATAGCATTTTCTTAATATGGTATTAAGTATTACAATATTTACACTATAAATAAAAGTTAATTTCAATATTATCCCCGACACAATTCACGATTTTGTCTCAAAATATCACCGTTCGTTATGAGCTATTTTCGTTGTATATATAGAATGTATTATATATTCAACCCAACCCGCCGGCGATTCAATGTCTTAACCGTGTTACAATTTGTCGTGTTCACTCACCGAAAAAACACTTGGTATTTATATCAAAAAACCATGTATGACTAAAATAACGTCACTAGACTACATATGTTCACATTTGTACAATTATTATTATACATATTAACAAAAAAACTCCAGTTTAACGTAAAACAGTTCACGTTACTACCTACGCGTGCTTAATTTGTCACGATACAGTTAAATACACCTGACAAAAAATCTACCTTGTCCACAAAACATATTTTATTGTAATTACGCTAAATCCTCTATTCTAATATAACTACCAAGGTCGGCTGAGTTCTTCATGCATGAAAATCAATAACTGGAGCGATAGAACTGCGCATAACAGATCTATGCAGTGAACGATGCCAAACAAACGAAAGAAAGACCATTAATTTCTTTGCTGTTTTTTTTTGTATGGTGCACATTCTTAAAGGCACATTATGCCCCAGAAACAAATTAAGAAAGGGCGAACATGAATTTCATAATGCTTAAATAATGGTTTTAGAGATGCTTAATTGTTAACAAAAGAAAGTAGTGATAAATGTGGAATATTTATTTATAAAAGTAGCAAAATGTAAACAAAGCAGTATTTTGACTTCCATGCAAAATACTAATTTTACTATAACTGTTCTTATTGCCAAAAATAAATAAATAAATAAAAATAAATAAATTAATAAATAAATTTTAAATAAATAAATAAATAAAACAATGAACAGGCAAACTACAAGACCTCTTATCAATCACCGGTATATGCGGCAACCTCCGCCCAAATGCCAAACAAAACTAACGTATACCTGATTAAAGAAGCTCTAAGATTTCCAGTTAGTCCGGTTGCAGCTGTCTGGCTCGTAAAATAAGATCACATTTTTAAAAATTTTCATTAACGCAAATACGACTCTTCATGTTATTTATTTTTCACAGTACGCAATGCAGAACCGATTTATACTTGCTTAAAGATATATGAGCCGCGTCACGACAAAACCAACGTAATGCGTTCGGACCAGCATGGAATTTACTTGACTTGACTTGATCCAGACCAGCCTGCGCATGCGCGCAGTCTGATCAGGATCCATGCTATTCGCTATCAGTTTGTCTACTTGTAATCGGGTTTGTGAGCGAACAGCATGGATCCTGATCAGACTGCGCATAAGGAACGCATATTCCCGTAATTTGTACATTATTTTATCTAAATAAAACATATTCAGTAAGAATTTTATAGATTTCAATAAATTTCTGCAATAAAAATATTTTACTCAATTATGTAGACAGTATGTCTTTAAATCAGCTGGAATACCGTTAGGGCCATCGTGGTTACACTTTATAATCCAGAGGACGACAATGCGACAGTACGATGACGACAGTGCGATAACGCAAAGACGACAGTGCGAAAATTCGATGACGACAGTGCGATAAGGACAGTACGATACCGCGATTGTGACAACGCGATATAATTATCGAACTATCGCCTTCGCGTTATTGCACTGTCGCCATCGCATTATCGTGTTGTCGTCATCGCACTGTCGTTATCGCAATCTGGATTATAAAGTAATTTAAAACCACGATGACCCTAACGGTATTCCGTAATAACGAGAGTATGACGGCTTTTAAACCGGAAGTATACACGGAGGTCATCGCATGCGAATGTGTCCACGACTACAAGGCCTCACATCAATCAAATGCGGGGTGACCTTCGTTCAAAATCTACACACAACTGCCTTCGTGACGCTTTGAACTTTCGGAGCAGTCTTGCACTTAAGTTATAAAAATTATATGGCCCTATATAAACGGTTGTTTGTAAATATAACCCGAGCCTCCAGGCTCAATCAGTTAGAGGGCGAGACTTGTAATCTCGACATTGTGTGTCCGATTTTCGGACAAAAATTACTAATAAGTCTTTCGGATGAGACTTTAAATCGAGGTTCTGTGTATGAGTGCTTAAACACTTGGCACAATAAAGAATCAGGAGAAGCTTCTAGAATTTGGGGCATCTTTCTGAACCTTGCACTATCCTTCAAACTGTAAAATGACTAACACTCTTCTGGAGATATGGGCAACCGGTGGAAAGTATAAATAAACTAAGATACACACACGTGACCTTAGGTCAGGGCCATTTTTTATCCATGGTTCATAAATCACAGAAGTATATATCAACAAGGCAATTCTACATGCAAAATATCTAAACTCTGATTATTTTCGATTTACAAAAGAAGACTCAAATGTGTTTCCTATATAAACTAAAAGACCCCTGGTGTGAAGCCAATTTTTACTCCACAAAATTGGTAGAGGTCCAATTGACAATGTTTCATACCAAATTGAAATATTTAAGCTAAAGCATCTATAGTATATTAGAAGAGTTAATTTTTTGTTTCTATTTACATTAAAGGAAAAATCAATGACTCCCTGGGCGGGACCAATTTTGACCCCCAGGGGTTTTATTTGCACAAACTTGGTACACATGGTAAGTATCTGAGCTCTAGCTCTTTGGGTTTTTTTTTCAGATGAAGATTTTTAATTTTTTCTTTCGGTTCCCATGGCAACCAGAATTTAGCATAGAAAGGAAGTTTTTGAATTATTTTAAGAGCTTCATGCCAGGATCATTGCTCACCTGCTTAGTTTTAACAATATTTGCCTATTGGTATAGGAGGAGATTTGTTTTAAGAAAACGTTTGACACCATTAACGACGCATGACATACAAAACTCACCTTTGAGCACTTTGTGTTCAGGTGAGCTAAAACATGTGGGAAATGACAACTATTTCAGACATAAAATATCTTTAATATCTTTATTAATTGTTGACAAACTGATTAATAATATTGTCCTTGCAAATTTATATTGATTGTCCTGTATTTTTATTGTTTATGACAACCCCGTTCCTAAACTAAAGCTGTTAATGTAGTTAGCTGTTATAGTTTGTTTGTATATACATAATTTATTTTAGTTCTATTGTGAAGGAAGCTATAAGCTTACAGACAGGCCAATTAGTACCAAGAAATTAGTGTAAAGATTCTTTCTCATAGAGAAAAATGCTTAGCCCTGATGGGGTTTGATCTCATCCATCCAGTAATCCTTTAAAATACATACTAGTCTGATGTGTTAAAGGGACTCCACTGAGGTATTTTGACATGATGGGACTGAAAATATTTTTTCTAGATAAATGTACCATTTGATGTAGGTTGAGACCATAAATCTTTGTGCAAAATTTTTGATCATTTGCGCACTTCGTATTTCCAGAATAATTATTCAAATTGTAAAAAAATGACCGAAAATGAAAACTGTTTAAACGCTTTTCTCTCAAATCGGGCTAAGAAAAGCATAAAAATACCATTTTCAATTTATTCTAAAGTATATTTCTTAACTATCTTTTTTCCTATATTTCTGTTTAAAGTGCCCCAGCTCATTTATGTAAGAAATTCAAATGTTATGTTTTTACGCTTTTAAACCTCAGTGGAGTCCCTTTAACTATGCCATCACTTTGGTCCCGTTTGCCTTGAAGTCAATCTTGTGTTTGACAAAAGAATTAAAGATATATAAGGCTCAAATTAATCTTCAAATAAAAATGATAATTACTATTTAGTCTCCTTTGAAAATGTAAAATGTAAAAAAAAACAATATTTTATGTTATGAATACACACAGAGAAATAAATTAAGTTTTAAACTGTACACATTACAGGTAATCACAGTCTGATTACACAGTGTCATAAAAATTGGCAGTTTTTATAAGAATAGACCAAATAAATTTGGCAAGTAATAGGGAATGCAGTTTCCCAAACATAGTTTATAAATTCACTTATTCAAATTAGACATATTCAGGAAGAATTTTCTATATTTTCAATAAATTTCTGCAATTGATGTATACCCAAAGATAAGCATACTATATCTTTTAAGTAAATGAAAATAATTAAAGTGGAGACTAGAAATTGTTTTGCTCTGTAGAGATAATACTAGTGTATTCTGTAGACAAATCTGTTATGACTAAAGAAATTTATATCACATTTTCACTGTAGAAGATCTAAAGTTTATTTTGTAGTCAATCGGACCACTGCAGTCCTATACTCTGATAGATGAAACTGTATACATCACTTAGCTCTTCAATCTGAAATATACAAAAAGACCCAACAACATTAAAGCTGCATGCCTCAAGATGAGCCCAAAACATTTCAGGAAAACTCACTTTGAGAAAAATGAATTTAAGAAAAGATTTTAAGTAAAGTAAAAATATTCACAATTCAAGTAATGGTTTACATGTTATATACAATGAATGGCTGATTTTTCAGTATTCATTAGTACCATATCTCTACTGCGTAACTAATGTAGTAAGAGCTAAGTTTATAAAAAAAGTCATTCATTTGAACCTAAAATCTTCAATTTGAAACTGAGTCTAACACCAGAAATGGGCACCTGAGTAGAACCACCGACATTCAATATGCTAGAAGCATAACTTCCTCTCCTCACAAGAAAGAATCCAAAGTCCCTGACACCATTCAAAATCCACAGGGGTGCGGGGTATGTGGTTTGAAGTCATCAACCTTAACCACTTGGTCACAGATGCTTGATTTACTTAGTTAAAATATTCAAAATTATTACTTACTATTTTGGCAGTAGGTTTTCCAGCACCGTGCCCAGATTTAGTATCAACACGTATCATCAAGGGATTGGTCTGAAATAAAACAGAAAACTTACATGTTTTCCATACAATAAAAGCTCATTCACTATAAAAATCTATCACTTTTTGAAGAAACATACACATTTTTATTTATCTTTTATTATAAACAAGTATCTGGCCTTAACCACATTACAGTATCAAAATTAAAGCTGCTTAACTCTAGATATGCCAAATATTTCAAGAAAATCAGCCTTTGGAAAACTATACCTATTACACTCTTCAAATAAATATTTCAAGAAAATCAGCCTTTGGAAAACTATACTATTACACTCTTAAGTGTGTGAAGTTTCAACCCATTGCCTTCAGTGGTTTTGGAAACACCAACTTAACCAAAGTGCGACGCAAATGCCTAGTTGAGAACAATATCTCTTACTTCCTATTCTTAACATAGTCAACCTAAAAAAAATGAAGCGCCTTCAAACACTAACACTAGTACTAAGTCTGCAAACCTTAGTGTTAACGCTGCTTTCTGATGTTTATTTTTCCTGCATAAGCCAAGATGAAAATCAACTAGATTTTTCTTTTATTTTTTAGAGTGGATGGCTGAGGTTGGTGTCCCCACTCTCAATGCATGAAAAGGGCTCAAGGGCCCTCATTAAGCCTAGAATACACACAAACCAAGTTAACTTGAATACTTTCCCTCTATTTTCATAGGTCAGTATGTATTATTTTGTGACAGATACATAGCGTAGACTACAAACCTGTTTTTCATGTCTGCCGGCAACATGTTGAAGCTGGGCTATAAACTTGAGTGAATGAAGGGGGACAACTCTGTCATCATGATCAGCAGTGAGTAAAAGGGTGGACGGATACTGGTTATCTCCCTCTGGTTCATGTATGTTGTGAAGGGGAGAATATCTGAAAATATTGTATATTGTAATAAATTCGGACTCAAATTCAGATCTACTTATTTCTTTTCTGTAGATCTGAAGACTACTATATATGTTTTGACTTCTTTATAATTTGGATTTCCCAAGAAAGCTATTTTTAGCCATGCAATCAAACTAGTTTTTTTACAGATGGGCATTAGAAGAAGTATCAAAGTACCGCTATCAGTGGATGATTTTTTGTAAGAAAAAACAATTGTTTGAAGTAATTTTTAGCAAAATTAACTTGAAATAATAGTGTCAATTTTTAATGGGCCGATTGTTTTGCAAGTTTACCTGTCGGCTATGCTAACAACGCCATGTTTGTTCTTGAAATCTTGAAAATTACCTACTTAGTATTGGGGCTTTCAAAATTATGAAAGCTTGCCAATGACTGGCTGTATGAAATCTCACCAGAAATGACTTAGTATTTGGTCAGGGTAAGATCTAAAAGCGGAGCATTATTTAGAGCTGATTTTAATCAGATTGCAATGTAATTCTAAAGTTTTGGTCCCTCTGTAGGAAGACTTATCATACAATCTTTTTGAATGTTCATGCACTTGTTCACAGATGGAAAATAAAAAATCACTTTTAAAGGAACTCAATTGAGGTCAAATAGCAAACAATCACAAAATTTGGAATTTCTTATAAAGATCAGCTGGGGGCACTTGAAACAGAAATACATATAGAAGATAATAAAGTAAAAAAATTACTTAGAAAAATTGGAAATCATTTTTTGAGCAAATGTATTATTTCAGTTCAAGTGAAAAGCGTGGCAACCATATTCAATTAGGTCTTTTTTTCACAATTAAGACTAAACCAGAATTTAGAAAATAAACTTACTTTATCAACCATTTAAAATCTTCCTCTTTCTCAGAGCAACCGTAGTCTGTTGTCCATGCATGCCCTATAGTGAACTTGTGGAATTTCAACATGTCCATCACACTGAAATACAAAATGTCCATGATTTATATAAAATACTCTTAACATCCAATTTTCATGGAACCAAAAAGGTGGGATATAGTAATACAAGCTTTGCATTGTGTCTTGTTTCTATGCTATAGAAATAGCATCAAAACACAAGGCTATCTGATTTGTAAGAGGGGCCTTAGCCCCCGAGTATTAGTCAGATTGCCAAGTGTTTTGATGCTCTTTCTCTTTTGTATCATTGTCAAACATAAAAACACGTTCCCTGTTGTCACAGTAAGAAACCCAAGAAAAAGGTAGCCAATGAACAATTCTATCGTGTTTCCTTTTTCTGCGGTCACAATAATTATGTAAACCCCAGCAAAAAATGAACCAATTAACGGTCATGCTCTGGAGAGCAGGTAACTAATACCTGCACTCCAGTTGATGCACTGTGTTCCGGAAAGTTAAATAAAAGCAAGACAGAGAAAAAGGGGCATAACTTTGCAAACAAAATATTTAAGATTATCTGCCCTTTTGAAAAGGAATCCTTTTATGACAATACACATGTATATCAAGCTTAAAGTGAATAGCTATTATAATTTCTGAGAAAATGGACATTCATAAAAAATAAACAAATGCTGACGCTAATGAGAAGGTCATGACAATAGCTCACCTTTTTTTCTTTAAGAAAAAGTGTAGCTAAAAAAAATCATTTTTAAATTTTACTATTATATATTCAGTCTGACAGTCTGAGGAACTTTTTTTCACATGTTGTTGAAGCAGCCCTGTCTTAATTTTGGGGTAAAATTATACAGTATGTTTTCAAAGGGGGGAGAAAAAACAACTTTTGGAGAAAACTGCAGGAATTTAAAGAAATTTTCTTTGGGGAAGCTCCCCTCCCCCTGAAATGGCCCCTGCTATAGAACTGAAAAAGCCCTGGATATTTTTCTTTAGATTTGGCTTTTAAAAAAAATGCTGAATCAAATGGTGTGCAAAGAGAGGGGGATATCCTATCAATAAAAACATAATTTACCATGCATTCAAAATATTCAGAAAAACAGAAAAACTTTCAAGTAAATTTAACACAAATTAAGTTAAGCAACCACAGGAAACAGCAGGCTAATTGCACACCATATGTAATCGTATCTGAATCTACACAGATATTAATAACTGCACATGAAGTGAAAATTTTTCCTCACCTACAAAATTACAAAATTTTTCAAAATAAAATCAAGTACACTTTATCATAGAATGGATAAAAGTGCTTATGAAAATTCCAGATTTGATCAATTTATGTTTTCATACATACCCAACTTGTGCTATAGCACATCCAAACAATTGAGGTGCTTGATTTATACAGGCAGCCACTAACAACCCTCCATTTGACCCTCCGTTGATTGTTATCCTGAAATTGGTAAAATAAATGTATTTGGTCAATCCGATTAACTTACTTGTACATTATTGACGTCATATGGCATGTAAGAAGTTGTTTTTATGCTGTGCATATATTGTTTTGAAATGCACTTGACAGTCCTATCTGGTTTTTTTTAGGGAAAAAGTGGGAAGTGTATAAGAATATATAATAATATAAGCCCAAATAAGGTATCTACAAAAACTTGCTATATACTAAGTTTGATAACAATACATTTTTTCTAACAATAGTAATCTTTCGTAAAGCATTTTTTCTATTTCTAGTGACAGTGACCTTGACACTAGGGGGCCCAAGAGAGGTCTCCACATAAGTTTGCTCAATACCATGTTTGATTACAATATTTTATTCCTAACTGAAACCATAAATCAGACTAACGGACATACTTGCTCACTACTATAGGTACATAACACCCAAAAACTATGTTTGTGAGGGTATGTAGCCACAGTAGGGAACAGGAATCTTAACGGATTAATTTTGTCTTCAGAAAAGTGGCAAAAATTGACTTATATAGTAATAATATCTTTGTAGAGCAGTGTCAATTTAAATATACTTTAATCCATAATTTATCTTAAAAAGTTTACTCCTTGTTGCATCAATAACATTTATCTTCAAGCAAATCCAGTGTTAAAAGTGAGAAAACTTCAATATATATTATGCTCAAATTTGATATTTGCAAAAAATTGATAATTACTTTATAGTCTCTTTTAAAATATGAAATAAACTTCTTTTGAATACACACAGAGAAAATATGTTACGTTTTAAACCCTACACACTACAGGTAATCTCAGTTTGATGTCATAGTGTCATTTAAAAACATGGTAGTTTCTATAAGAGTAGACCATATTAATAAATTTGACAAGTAATATGGAATGCAGCTTCTCAAACATAGTTTATACATTACCTTATTCAAATTAAGACATATTCAGGAAAGTTTTACTAGATTTCAATAAATTTCTACATAACAAGTATTTTACCCAAAGCTGAGCATAGTACATCGTGAGGCCTCAATTACTTACTTATTATGACTACTGTATTTGTTCTCTATGAGGTATTTAGCCGCTGCCTGGAAGTCATCAAACACGTTCTGTTTGTTTCCTAATATTCCACCTTTATGCCAAGTTTCACCGTATTCTCTGTAAAATATAACAACAACAGTAAGTAAACATTGGCTTGTTAATTCTGTGGGGAAAAAACAACACAGCCATGTTCTACTAACACTCTCTGACCCTCGTGAAGATATCAGCCAAATATTTTGACACGGACAGACTCGGTTCCCTGCAGCACTTCAATGAAATATGAAAATTTACAGAAATTTCGAAAAATTCTGAGGTAAGGGTTTCTTGTAAACAAAAAATGATAACTTGCCAAGAACTCTGATAATCCTAAAATGAAAACTTTCACTTATGATGCAGATCATTGGCATGAAAATCTACATGATCACTCCTGATATGTTATCAAAACAAGAGCGATCAGTAATCACATGTGTCGCCTCATGATGGCCAATTTCATGTTGGGACAAATTTTGTGACAGACGGACAGACAGACAGACAGTGCACAACTAGACTTGGTACTGATCATTCCTGTAAAGTTTGGATAAAATTGCACCAGTAGTTTATGAGGAGTAGTCTGGACAAGCTTTTGCGTATCTGGCAACACACAGAAAAAAAACACCTTTTAATCAAAGGGCCATAACTCAGCCAAAAATCATTCAACCGGAAAACCTGTGCAATATGCGCAAGAACTTGAGCAACAGATCAATCCTGTAAAGTTTCATTGAAATTGCATTAGTGGTATAAGAGAAGTAGTCCGGACAAACTTTAAAAATAAAAATTATTAAAGGGCCATAACTCAAACAAAAAATCATTGAACCGGAAAATGCTGACAATATGCACAACTAGACTTGGTACTGATCATTCCTGTAAAGTTTGGATGAAATTGCACCTGTAGTTTATGAGGAGTAGTCCAGACAAGCTTTTGTGTATCTGGCAACACACAGAAAAAGAAACCTTTTTATCAAAGGCCATCCATAAAAATTTTTTTGTTTGTAGTGCTCCGACCGACCCATTAAAATGGCCCCGACTCTAAAAAATTTTTACCCCTTTGAGGATTTTTTTTTTTTTTTTTTTTGAGATCATTATGTATCCATTCTGTTAAAAAAAACTTTCTCCAATAACTTTTCAGACAAATTTTGAACTGAGAAGTAGAATAGTAAAAGAATTTTATTCCAAAACCAAAATAAACGCACGCTTTTCATCGATATTTTGCCAAACTTTGACCCCGAACATCGGCGATTTCACATTCGCCAGAAACAATAAAATTTCGCAAAGGGCGTAAAAATTCTCAGTTTCCAAGCCAAACATGTGAATGAATTGTTCTTTTGTTAATTATTTAACATTAAATCTTATAAAAGTTGATCCACTTTTGAAGATATTTGCTAAAATAATTGCCGATCGGATGAATCTCTTACACACTGTGTGAAGCTGTACTCGATTTTCCTATTCATTCCACTAAATGCTGCCTATATATACGTACAGTATATGGAAATGATGCCCTTTACAAATATAAAGTCTTCGTCTTTAGACTTTAGAGTGGACATATTAAACAAGAATAAAATTTGATTTATTTTTGGTATAAAAGTGAAAAAACGATTGCAACTTTGTTATGTGAAAATAGACAGAAATGGTACCCTCACTCATGAAGGTTTTTGACATGAGTGGACATATCTAACTTGAATACAATTTGATTTATTTTTGGTGAAATAAAAAAGATTGCAACCTTGATTCAAAGATAATATACATACATCAATGAATGTTAAAATGGACTACCCTTCGTAACCATAGACCACCACTGTATACATATATTTACACACAAAATAATACTAGAAGAACTTTATTGTTGACATAAATTAATTTAAATCATTTTGCATTTCATGCTTGTCAAAAAATGAGGTTACACTAAAACTTGTTGAAAAAACAAGTTAATTGATAAAATTTTTGCGAGAAAATCGCTGGAAATTAATGGGTCTTTTTCCGATACTTTTAAATAAGTTATACCTGTGTTTTCTTCATATTTCTTCATAAGAATGATAATTATTCATAAATTTTACCTTTTCCTAAATTGTAATTTAATAGCCATATTTTTTAATCTTTGTTGCAAACAATTTTACAAATCATGCACTGTTTATTTTTTTCTTTTGTTTTTGTTCCTTTTTTCTCCTTTGTAATTGTCCGTACTATATTCCCTTTTAAACACCCAAATGGGTTTATTTAATTGTTGCCAACTTAAGTGCTCTCTTCAATCCAACTTTCAAAACAAACTCCAGGCTCCAGGACCTGTTGATTACACACTATACATGTATACAGCAGGTGACGTAGATTTTTTCTACATAATACACAAATATGGTAAGTACACAGGACTGTGTGACAGGTGTAACATACAACATAATGATCTATTATTATGCTGGCTAGTGAATGGAGTTAATCAACTGGGTTAAAACAGTATGGTTTGTTTGGTAAGTGACAAGATAATCTAAATTTTCAAGTGTACCCCTAAAAATTAACAAAAGAAACAAATTAACAAAAACAACAAAAAACAAACAAACAAAAACAAATAAAAAAATAAAAGCTAAAAAATTCTGTTATCTAATTTCAAATATTTCTATTCTAACCAAATTAATATTATTTGCAGGATAAGTCCTTTTATTCAATAGTAATGAGAAATGGATTTGCTACACCCCTCCCTTCTTTGTGCATTTAGGCTATCCAGTAAATGAAATCTTAGGTAGTCATCAAAGCAGGTGGTAATCATTGATTTCTATACTTGTAGTGTACATTGCATTTTCAAATAACCATGAAATACTAGTATTGAGACTAATTCGTTCTATTTTCTCAAAGGGCTAGATATGTCAAGTAATCATATTGTATATATTTTTCTCAGATCACTTGTTTTATTACAGGTATTGTCACCTTTTCCAGACATTGCCAATTTCAGTAAATAAGGACCAAATTCAATTATTTTGTTTAAAGATGAAATAAATGTAAAATAAACAACAACAAAAGTGTTACATTGTATGTCTGTTATTATTTGAAAAAATTAAAGAAAATATCAACAGAAAAACATTTGCCTACACATTATAATTTGTCTAAATACAACTGTACAGTATATCATGGCAGACTATGTACTGTGTATTGCTATACTCAAATTTTGTAACAAGTGCAATTTCAAAAAAAAAAAAAAAATCCCCTACCTACCTACCCACCTCTTGAACTTAGGGTCGGAGCACTACAAACAAACAGTTTTTTAAGGATGGCCAAAGGGCCATAACTCGGCCAAAAATCATTCAACCGGAAAACCCTTGCAATATGCGCAAGGACTTGAGCTACAGATCAATCCTGTAAAATTTCATTGAAATTGCATTAGTGGTATTTATTATAAGAGAAGTAGTCCGGACAAACTTTAAAATTAAAAATTATTAAAGGGCCATAACTCTGACAAAAATCATTGAACCGGAAAATGCTGACAATATGCACAACTAGACTTGGTACTGATCATTCCTGTAAAGTTTGGATGAAATTGCACCAGTAGTTTATGAGGAGTAGTCCGGACAAGTTTTGTGACGGACGGACAGACGGACGTACAGACAGACGACGGAGAAGTGATCCCTATATGTCGCCACTACTCCGTAGAGGCGACACAAAAAGCTCGTACAAATGCAAAACCACATCCAAAATAAACTTGTTTTAAAATCCTCATATTTTGGCATTGATCAAACATGCATTTACAAAAAGAGCATTAGGCTGGGACTGTTAAAACTTGCAACTGAATTGAACCTATGACCTAGTTGCCAGCATTAGACAAAATTGTAAAAATCATTTAAAAGTGGCATGTTAGATTTGGTCAGCAAAAGAAGAAAACATCTTTAAGTCAACACCTACCCTCCGCCTCTAATGTTAGCCACTGCATAAACACCGCCTAAATGTTGTAAGAAAACAAGTCGAGACACTGAGAAACTTGCGCTTATAGGAATATTGAATCCACCGTAACCGTACAGCATCACCGGATTTGAACCGTCTTTTTTTATGTCCTGAAAATATAGCATGTAATAATCCGTTTTTTAATAATTCAATAACTTTATAACAAAGTAAATCTTGTTTAACTGTAACATTAAACCAAAAATATAAAGCTTTTGGGAAATAAAAACAAAATAATTTATGTGGCATAATGGGCCTAAAAAGCGTTGTTAGTTTTTTGGTTGGGTTTTACATTATACCAAGAAGATGTCATATGGCAATTTTCCAGCCTTACTGGTGGAGGAAGACCTTAGGCGCCCTTCTGTGCATTATCTAAGGCACAAATGGGTACCTAAGTAGAACCATTGACATTCCATAAGCAAGGTGGATAGCTTCCTCACATGAAAGAATTCAATAAAAGTCCCCGACAGGTTTCAAACCCTAAGTGGCTTTGAAGTCAACAACTTTAACAACTTGGCCATTGAAGCCCCAAAAAGCCATTTTAATAAAATCTTTATTATCATTAAGCAAAGCAAATATCTAAAACAGAAATGAGGAGCGTCAAGACAAAACCAACACAGTGAGTTTGCGACCAGCACGGACCCAGACCAGCCTGCCCATCCGCGCAGTCTGATCAGGATCCATGCTGTTCGCTATCAGTTTCTCTACTTGTAATAGGGTTGGTAAGCGAACAGCATGGATCCTGATCAGACTGCGCGGATGTGCAGGCTGGTCTGGATCCATGCTGGTCGCAAATGCACTATGCTGGTTTTGTTGTGACGTGGCTCAAATAATGTGTTAAGTAATGTCTATATATACTTGCTTTTCTATGTACTAGGAACATTGGTATTTTGGTCCCATCTTTACTACTGTAGAACACTTGTTCCGTTGTGAATTTGTCAAAGTCGAAATTCTTCACTTTTATATCACGGAAGACCTGAAAAAAAATCAGAATACTCTGTTTGAACCCTCTGAATTCAGAGTTTTTTTCTCTGTAATTTTTGAACGATTGACCCAATCCTGAGAATTGGGATATTTCTATGATGTTTAAGACAAATTGGGAAAAAAATCCTGAGAACATATTGTAAACAAAATGATTTTAAGGACAAAAATCATAAGAAATTCTGTCATATGTTAAGAACTTCTCAATTCTAGTGAAAAATGTTGATGTTTTGTTCTTTATTTTGGTTTGTTTCTGCTCAGTTCTTATACATCTTAAAAACATGCTTGCAGAAAATTCCATGCTCAACTACATTTATAGGTGAATGTTGGGACTAACTTACCTTTGGTTCTAACTGATCGGTTGTCATATCACATCTATAGATAATACCTGGTGTCAAAAATGACATAAACTGGTAGAATATCTGAAATGACATAACAAATATAATCAGCAGAGCTTTATACAGAAAATGATGACTGGAAATTTGGTAGCTTACATTCCTCCTTTTTTTTGTGGAGAAGGGATCGGTTTTACAAAGCACCACTACTCACAGAGGTCATAAAGGTCATATCGTGACATTCCAGCTTTACTGGTGAGGGAAAACCTCAGGTGTCGTGTCACAGAATTATTTCAGGCACAAGTCCACGAGCCAGCACCTGAGTAGAAACTACCCACATTCTGTGAGTTAGATGGATAGCTTCTACACATGAAAGCATCCAAAATCTCAGGATTTGAACCCATAGCAGTCGGGGGCAAGTGGTTTGAAGTAAACGACAATAACCACTTGGCCAAGTGACCTCAGGGGTCACCTTCGAGAATTACTTCAGGCACATGCTAGTACCTGAATAGAACTGTTAATGTTCTGTATACTAGCTGGATAGCTTCCTCATTCCTAAAATGAATGAACCCCAGGAAGGCTTCGAACTTACAGCAGCAAGGGACAAGTGGTTTTAAAGTCAAACCACTCGGCCAAAGATCTTCCTGCTTAACTATTCAAACATTGGTACACAAAAACTGAAAACATAATACTATATCATGTAGCTCGTATTTTTTTCTTTGAATCATACAAGCTTTAAATGCTAAAATATATTTCCAAAATGTTATATCTTTATAAATATATAGCTACCAAGTCTTCCATCATCCGTTTGTAAACAAATTCACCTACCTCTGTCAACTTTTTCTTGCCAGAGTACCCAACAACTGTCCCTACTTCTAATGGTAACTGACAGATTCTCTTACCATCTGATAAACCATGTACATACAGTTGATTCTGAAAAGTATCACAAAATATCAGTAAAGCAAACAAATAATTTTCAAACTTTTCTTTTTGGGTGAGTTTTATGTTGCACCAACATAATATAGGTCATATGGCAACTTCCAGCTTTATTGGTGAAGGAAGACCTTAAGTGCCCTTCTGTGCATTATTTCCACTAAACAGGCACCTGAGTATAACCACCGACATACAGTAAGCTAACTGGATACCTTCTTCACATGAAAGAAATCTAGTCCCTGTTGGGATTCGCACCCACAGCGGTGAGGGGCGAGTGGTAAATGTTCAAACTCTCCTAGATTTATCAATACAATGTGAAAATTGGTATCTATTTCTATACTTATTTGCTAATTAGGCATGTTAAAATAGAGAACCATTAAAATACATATTAAAGTATATTTAGTGGAGATGTATTTTTATGACATCACTTCATCCATTAATGACAGATTGGGCAATAGTGCACTTGATTGCTCACTTTATAAGTACATGTATTAAATTAGGCCTAAATATTCAGGAAGAAAAAAATTTCAGGAACAAAAACTAAACATTCAAATTTTTAAACTAAATTTTACAATATGTAAATTCAAATTCATAGTTACAACTACTAAATGTTTTATATATCAGTTTACCTTTACATCCTGGAGGTAGCACAACACTAGTTTGTTGCCATTTACAATAGCTGACCACTCTAGAACATTCTTCTCATGTTCCTCTACAAGGGTGCTCCAATTTTCCTGTACCATATAATAAATTTAATAAATCATGCTGAAATTTTCATTTTTTGTCAGTGTCTCATTAACTTCTAATAATAAAAATCAATAATAAATGTTCATTTGACATTTCAAGGCAAGAGCAGTAATGTTTATGTGATACATAGAGGATATTGAATGAGTGTAGTTCAATACTGAATTTATTGAACGAGTTGCATAAAATTATATTATGCGAGCCTCTGGCGAGCATATTATTTCATTCACGAGTTAAATAAATTCAGTATTGAACTTACATGAATATAATATTCTATTTATCACATACCCAAAATAAAGACTGTTTACAGTGAAAAAGAATCAGTTTTCAATGACGGGCTTATAGTGAACACTTACATTTAGAGTGTTTTTAAATTTCATTTATATAATGCAAATGACGTCACATCAAAATATGCACGGCTTTGCAATACTGTTAAATATTATAGAATCGCAAAATTGGCAAGGGTATGTGATAAATTCAATTTATCATTGAAATTTTTTCACTTCTCCTTTCTCTTTGCCAGTGTTTAAAGGACAGTGTTATATACTTCTGAATAAAAATTTGTAAGTTACAATTAAGAAAATTATATTCCATCATACAACTGCCATGGCAACTGCTTGATAACCCTGGCCTGTTAATTATTTTTGATATCGCACTAGTACTTAACCAGATATAAAAAAATAAGCCTGCCCATTAAAACAAACTTTTTTTTCAGTAGCTTATATTCTTATTCTTAGTCTTCGGCCTTGTAACCCTCCAATTTAACCGCATACTTTTTTGCAATTTCAAAGTCTTGAATCAAGCTGTTATAGTTATTATTTTTATTTTGTTTTCAATTATAAATCAATAATTTAACTAAAAGAAAGGTAACACTTAAGTTTCGTAAATCACATCCTTAATGTCCATGTCATACATCAAACATAACAGACAGGCTAGACTAGATTATCTTGGTGATCTTGTCATTTAACTTATAATTATTATTGGTTATATTTAATGTATGGAAACTACAAGCACTTGTCTTCATAGAAAATAATTGGTTATTTTGGTATCCCGTATTAGGCCCCATTACTAAAAGTTATTCTATATAAAGAAAACATACTAGGATTTCCATGATTTGTGTGACAAACCAAATATTAATGAGTAGCAATCAAGCGATTAAAATATAGTTTATAAGTAACAACAATTTTTGTACAGGAACTACTCGCATGCCAGTATACTTACCATTTCAAATTTACTGAAATCTATGTTGATAAGTTTGTAGTTTGGAGACTTCAAGTTGGTTTTAAAAGTAAATAAGCTGCCCTCATTTGTAATATACTGAAAAAGAAAAATATTCATAATGTCTTTGATTTTCTTTAAAAATAATAAAAACAACATTATAAATATTTATTGTCAAACCTTTCTGTAAATTCTCTTTATAAAAGATGACTTAATAGAGGTAAATATTAAGCACAGGATTAAACAACTTAAAATCGAAAATTAACTAATAGATAAATTTGGTCTTCATGTTTTTTCTCTAGGTTTTACACTGATTTTAACACATGTCTTGGTCATATCTAGGCAGTTGACTCAACTAACCATTTTCCTTGTTAACTAACCAGTAATATTCGGTCATATATCTAGGCGGTGGATCCAACTCATCATTTTTCCTAATTAACAAACCAGTAATATTTGGTCATAAATCTAGGCGGTCCTGCTGTCCCTAAAATTCATAATGGATAGTTCCAAATTCAAAAGTGGTCAAATTCATTACACAATTTCAGCAGGTGAAGGGGTTAAACGGATAAGAAAAAGAAGATATGTTACCTCATACTCAGCATCAAAGTTATCAACAACCTTGACGTATGGTATAAGCCCATTAATACCGTCTGGTAATGTACGTAGATCGGTAAAATACAGACGGTTCACCGGATCACAACCCTGACTTATAGCAAGAACGAGATAATGTCCACAATCACTGACCTCAGCACCTCTGAAAACATACCAAATGCATCATATGATTTCATTGATATATATCATTAATTTGGTTGAGATTTTTTGCATCGCACTGCTATAGTTAAAAGTTTAGGTCATATGGTGACTTTCCAGGTTTACTGGTGAAGAAAGACCTCAGGTGCTCTTCCATGCATTATTTAGGCATGACCGGGCACCTGAGTAGACTGAGTAGAACCACAGATATTTCATAAGGAAGCTATCCAGCGTCCTCACATAAAAGAATCAAAAGTCCCTCTTGGGATTCGAACCCACATTAGTTAGAGGCAAGTGGTTTGAAGTCAACAGCCAAGGATACCCCTTCATATCTTCCATAAACATCATTTTCTATTATGGGTCCAGTCAAATTTGCCATCTACAACTATCAATTTTTTTCCATAATGCAAGAGATATTCTTTTTACACAAATATTTGTGCGTATCTTTTCTTGTTGTTTTTACATGAAGCTATCTCAAACTGTTTTGAAACTTTAGCATAAATATGTCAATGACATACCCGACTGCACGTAATACACACTCCTAACAGTTCTTTCTTGACACCAACAAAAAAAATTTCCCAGAAAACACTGTTACACAATTCATCTTTTTAAATTTCAAAGCAAGACTAACTTATGATGAAATATCAATTTGAATACCCTTCACATTATTCCCTCATTTAACAGATGGGGCAGTCAAGTGCATAATCACACTATATATATAGACGGCATAAATACCAAATGCTTACTAGTCTCATGACTCGTCTGATAAAAAAAACCAAGTGATGTAAAGAAAGAAAATTACTTCTCAGCTCAATGTAGTTCAACGTTATTTTCATTTTTTTTATCAATTTTCTTTCATATTCGCATGTTAGAAGAAGAGACATATATATCAACTTTTCTTGCATTGTTGTTTGATAATGCACAGGTCATCCTTCAAATTCTTTGTAATTATTCACTCAGACTTAATTTGCTTCATGGTTATATTCCTGCACACTTAAACTCAAACCGTGCATTATTCTACAACACCGCACTCAAAATTGATACCTATTTCCTAAATAAAGCAAATACGAAAATGAACTCAACTCCAGCACTAGAAAATATGAACTTACATCATCCATTTTGGATTGTCAGGAAATTCTACGACTAAGGTATCCTCTGATTGGTCAGTTCCTAACCTATGGTAGAACAACTTCTGGTTTAAATTTGATGTTGTCTCTGTTCCGTCAGATTTGCCCTCTTGTTCTGGGTAACTCTACAAACAAAATAATGCTTTACTGTAAAAACATTATGTCATAAAAGGTCCACTTAATACTTATTTTGTGAAAATGAATCATAATCAATCTTTTGTTCTGCACCTGATGCTAGGTCTTCAATACCTGTGCATAAACCCGATTCTAGGTCTTACATACCGTTACATAAACCTGATGCTAGGTCTTCAATACCAATACAAAAACCTGATGCTGGGTCTTCAATACTGGTACATAAACCTGATGCTAGGTCTTCAATACTGGTACATAAACCTTATGCTAGGTCTTCAATACCATACATAAACCTTATGCTAGGTCTTCAATATCAGTACATAAACCTCATGCTAGGTCTTCAATACCAGTACATAAACCTTATGCTAGGTCTTCAATATCCGACATAAACCTGATGCTAGGTGTCCAATACCAGTACATAAACCTGATTCTAGGTCTTCAATACCAGTACATAAACCTTATGCTAGGTCTTCAATATCCGACATAAACCTGATGCTAGGTCTTCAATACTGGTACATAAACCTTATGCTAGGTCTTCAATACCAGTACATAAACCTTATGCTAGGTCTTCAATACCATACATAAACCTGATGCTAGGTCTTCAATACTGGTACATAATACTTATGCTAGGTCTTCAATACCATACATAAACCTTATGCTAGGTCTTCAATATCAGTACATAAACCTCATGCTAGGTCTTCAATACCAGTACATAAACCTTATGCTAGGTCTTCAATATCCGACATAAACCTGATGCTAGGTGTCCAATACCAGTACATAAACCCGATTCTAGGTCTTCAATACCAGTACATAAACCTAATGCTAGGTCTTTGAAACTATTACATAAACCTGATGCTAGGTCTTCAATACCGTTGCATAAACCTGATGCTATGTCTTCAATACCGTTACATAAACCTGATACTAGATCTTCAATACCGTAACATAAACCTGATGCTAGGTCTTCAATACCGTTGCATAAACCTGATGCTATGTCTTCAATACCGTTACATAAACCTGATACTAGGTCTTCAATACCGTTACATAGACCTGATGCTAGGTCTTCAATACCAGTACATAAACCTGATACTAGGTCTTCAATACCAGTACACAAAACTGATGCTCGTAGACTTAACTTAGAGGTGGCTTTTAACACATGTTTGACTGTATATTAGTAATAAAATCAATGTAATACTTACATTATAGAAGAGACCTTTACCATCATGTGTCCATGCCATACTAGAAAACTTCACTCTCTTCAAAACATCAGGTAAATCTTCCCCACTTGGTGCATTCTTAAACTGTTCAGATAAAAAAACAAACCATATTTATTCTACAATGCATTTGTTTCCCTTTTTTATTTTGAAAGAAGACGCATGACTGTGCTCATTTGAAACTCGATATTAAAGCAGCTTGCCCCTAGATAAGTCCCATATAGAGAGGATATTGAATGGGTGTAGGATACATACTGAATTCATTGACAAATTTGTAAATTGAATAAAATCTAATTATGCAAGCCTTTGACAAGTTCAATAAGTTTAGTATTGAACTTACACAAATACAATATTCTATTATCATATATTCAAAATATATAGTTTACAGTAAAAATGAATCACTTTTTCATTGACCTATTTAGTACTTATAGTGTGACGCTAACATTTAGCATATCTTTACGCTATGTTTGTATAATGCAAATGCACGGCTGTGCAATACTATTTTTACGGAGTCACAAAAGCGGCATGGGTATGTGATAAAAATCTATAAAATTTACAATTGTATACGGATGAGCTTTAAGTCACATCAGCAATGTTATGTTCCTATTAAAACATTCCAGTTAATCTGGTGGGAAAAGACCTCGGTGTAAATTATTTCAGGCATAAGCGGGCACCGGCACCCGAGTAGAAACACCAATGCTGCATAAGCTAAACGGTCAACTTCCTCACAACCGGCAATGCAGTAGAACCACCGATGCTCCATAAGCTAGATGGACAGTCACAACTTCAGTACATGAAAAAATCCAAAGTTTCCGACGGGATTCTAAACAGTCCAATTTCAGATCGTAAAACTGTTGCAAGTCCTTCTTTATTTCATAGAATATACTGCAGTTTTGTGGTCAACCCTCCATATATATATATCTGCTATTTTGTATGACATGCCTAATAAGGAGTCTTAGGGCTACACTCTACAGATCTTAGGTTTGTATCATTCCAACCTCTTTTCCTCTTCTACAACCACGGAAATTTAACATCAAATGCTGACAAGTCACTTTTTTAGACTCATATAAGGGGAAATAATACTGTTATGAATATATCATTCACCTTGATGGTTATCCAATCGGAACCCTTTTCACTTAGTCCGTAAGCATAGATGTCCCCTTTCTCAGAGAAAGCTGTCCCACGAAGAGATGTAGTACCGTCTTCGGAGAGTTTATTTGGGTCGAGAAAAACTCTTGCTTCCCCTTCTAGAGAATCTTGTACATAAAGAACACTGAAAGATACAAAAAGCTTTTTTCCCTAAAATTTATCGTGTACATACAATAATACGAGAATGCATAACTGCCTTTTTGGATTAGTTAAGTATATACTGGTTACTATTTTCATAACAGATAAACTTGCTGCATTTTTTTTTTTTGAAGTCTTTCAAGAGCTCCTTATATAGAGCAACAAACTTCAACTTTTCTCAAGGCTCAATAGTGAAACACTTTATTATAATTCTACTTAAAGCTAAAACAGTGATGTATCAGCTGATTGCCACTCCAATTTTTTTCCTCAATTTAAGTATAAATGTTAAGGTTTTTTTATTTATTTGACACATAGTAATAAATTTATTTTTGTGAACTAAAAAACGGAATTAATCAACAAGTGAAAACCCAAGGTGCCCAGGAGGCTATATCCCTACAGACCTCTTTCACGATCTTGTTAAGCAGACATAAAGACTGTGATTTGTAATGACTTGCCATGAAATTTTTCAATCAACAAAACTATTTATCATATACGAGGGGTTATCCAAAAATTCTTGGACTTTTTAAATAACTTTTGAACGCCAACGTGTATTGTAATGAAATTTTATCAGCATACATTGTAGAATATAATCAACACGTTTTGAAATGAAAAATTAACTGCGTCAATAAATAATGATTTTATAATGCTTTTAAAAAATCACATACACGGCACCCGGCGCACGGTAGAAAAGCACAGTTAGTCATCGTATATTTTTTGCTAAAAAACTACTAATTTACGTAGAAAACCCGCTAAACATTGCATATTTCTTCTATGATGTCATTGAAGTAATTCTTTAAAATAATGGACGTCACTTCCGTTAATTTTTGTTGAAATCGCCAGAAACGCCAGACGACGATATTGTTTACAATGGGATAATGATGGACACGCAGAAATTAGAAAATTTTGTTGTAATTTTGGAATGACACTGACAGAAACATTTGGAAAAAAACAGCAGGCGAACAGAGAAAATAAAATTTCACTATCATTACTTTTTAAGTGGCATAAAAAATTTAGTGATGGACTTTACTTTGTGAAGCACAAATGGTTATTGACTGTGTAACGTTGAAGCATAAGTTATACGTGAAATTTAATGACGTTGACGTCAATAATTTTTTGGAGTGCGCCGCTGTCGCTGACATGTGTTTATGTAAAATTAAATATTGTTGTAATATAAGAAGCTTCTAACATGAATTTTTCTGTGTTTATTTCCTATTTATTTTTCTAAGCAGTGTTAGAATTTCAAATCAATATCTCAAATATATTTTACGCAGCAAAGAAAGTCCACGAATTTTTGGATAACCCCTCGTACATGTATCCAGGGCTTTTTTCACAGGTTGGGGAAGCAGCCCTGCCCTTAATTATTGGGAAAGATTGCACAGTATATTTGCAAAAGGGGAAGAAATAACTTGATGTAAATTCAATTTTGGGGGAAAACTGAATGATTTTAAAGAATTTTTCTTTGGGGAAGCAGCCCTATACCGGCCCCTGCTATAGAAGGAAAAAAGCCCTGGTATCTTAAAAAAATAAAAGATGTTTGTAAATGGTAAAGGAAGATGATATGGATCGCCAATCTGTTAATTATGAAAACTCTAAAAACATACTGACCTCTGATTTTGTAATCCAGTATTATAGAAATAATAATAGCAGCTCCCATGCTTCTTTGGGCAGCCATACTTTGGATAATCCCACATTTCCGTAATCCTGTAATATAAAACAAGAGCTGTCCGTAAGACAGAGCGATCTAATATTCTCAGTGCTTTATTTAACAAAATGGGTATAATTCCATAAAAATGTAGAATAGGGTTATGGGACCTGTGCTCATTATGTTAGATAATCGCAGAGAACAAGTGTGTGAAGTATCAAACTATTTCTATTGAGAAGTTTTGGATGCAATGACACTGAAACTGTGGTGAGTGCAGCAGCTCTCCCTACTTTTTGAATAGTCAAGCTTAAAATGAATATAACAACTCAAAAGTTGTCATCTTTTTTTTTTTAAAAAACCTGTATAAAAACAGACAGTCAGTACAACAATGTACAATATAGTTTTCTGAGTTGAACACATACTGTCTTGTACTGCTGGCAATTCAAAAGGGAAGTGATTTTTTATTAAAGGTGTCGGGAATTGATGAAGTTCATATTAAAGCGTGTTATACACACGTGACTTTCCCCTCACTTCCTACATTATATTGTTTCTGTTGTTTAATACATGACTGTTTGTTAGTAAAGGTAGAGTCTGGAAACTACGATTTTGTTTAGTCATTATACATCCCCACATATAGAACAAAGCTTCAAAACATAAAAATTAAGTTTCTTTATAAAGATCAGTTGTCATCGAGACACTTTTGGATATTACAAAAATTAAATTAAAGAGTCTTTGAGAAATAAAGATTAGCATTTCTGAGGCATATAATGGGCCATAAAAATGAAACCATGGAGCTAAATATAGATGGAGAAGAAACTATGAAGTCACACAGTTAAATTCAGTATCGGCGGAAACGTATTCACTTAAGTTATCATATGTTGCGGGATTCTCCAAGATTTGATCAATCCTGGGTAAAAGTAGCCAAAATACTGCCATACAGATTCCAGAAGGTACATCGACAAAAAAGATGAAGCATTTTCTACTAATAGAAGAAGCAATAGTTATTTATCATAAACGTACAATATACACTTTTCCACACATATATTTCTCCGATGAAACCCCTGTCGGCAATTTAAACATTAATTCATGGATATTGCTGAAGTTTAACGAGAGCACGAAAATTGGAAACTAGTGGGAAAACCTGATAATCACTGAAGCACCCAAAGGATTGTGGGTCTGAATCTATTTTTGGAGCTTCCTATCCGTTGTATATATATCTGTGATGGAACGTATGAATAAAGTTATAAAATTCATCAAAATTTACCTTTCCTGAAGCTTTTTACGTACAGGACACGCTTCAATATATGGTCGAGACAGATCATTTTGAGCATCAACAAATTTCTTTGTTTCTTCACTATCAGGATCTTCTAGCCACTGATATGGGTCAGCAATCTATAAATAGAGCAACATTCGAGTACTGAATAAACCTGATATGGGTCATCAATCTATAAATAAAACAACATTGCGAGTTCGGCAAAACCTGATATAGTAAAACAACATTGCGAGTTCTGAATAAAATGATATAGGTCAGCAATCAACATTGCGAAAAACCTGATATGGGTAAATACTTATAACTGTAATACCAGTTCTGGACAACATATTACGTCAATTAAATTGCAATTGCCAGTCAAATGTCCAGATAAAGGTCAGACAATCTTGACCTCAGACCATCACACAGGCAAATAAGACGTTATCCAAAATGTTTTGTAAGAAGTAGTGAATATTGAAAGTCATCAAATTGTTATGAATCTTAATTAATCATTCATATAATCAGTAACCTTATTGTGTTTTAGCTGTGGTTTTGAAATTTACTATGACTTCTACCTACCATTATCAATGTTTGTTAATTAACAGATAAAAACATCTATATACAGTGTCCTATTTAGTCCACAAAATATTGCTAGTTAACACACGAAATTTATAGCCTTTAAAGTTTAATGGGCGAAATTTAGTACTAAATTTTGCATGTCTTAAATTTTGCTAGTCCATCATGCGATAGTCCAACAAATTGTACTGCGCGACGAGATATTGTACTATTTTGTGTCTGGGTAATACCTCCCCTCTAATTCTGACCCAGAACGAAATCAGAAAATATCTCAGAATAAAGCTTTGGCACGTCAAGATATTTTGACTTGTCGAGCGATAACTTATGTATGTAACACCTTTTCTAGAGAGCAGTGGAACTAATTCTAGCAGAATTTGGAAACTTCACCTGGATAATAATGGTCTTAATTTTCGTATGTTGTGTGTTCCTAATGCGATAATTATCACGTTGAAGTGGCGCCCTATAATTATCGCATTCATGAGAGACTAGCGAAATTTAAACACAAGATAATTATTGCCTCTTTAAATTTCACTAGTGTTTCATGTAATAAAAATTGCCCTTCAACGCCATAGTTATTGCTTGAGGAACACACAATATATGAAAACTAAGACGACATTATTAATTGAGGCGAAATTGTTCGATTTTGCTAAATCAAAATTTAAGACATGCAAAATTTAGTACTAAATTTCGCACTTTGCAATAATTATCACATGTTTACTATCAAAATTGTATGGACTAAATAGGACACCGTATCTACACATTGATGGAACGTCCATAAACTTACAAACTGTCCCCAAATATAGTCCTGGACCTGTTAAACGTTCTACACATCTAGGTAAACTTGAAAATTTACGAGTAGATCTATATCACTTTGTAAGCATTCAAGACTTAAAGCCGATGTCTAAGTCACGATGTAAGGATCTGATATTAACTGGGAACATAAAGAATAAAGTAAGAAAGAAAAATATATTTACAACTTGTTAGTCTCATGTAAATACATCGCGAAAACGTATTGCATTTACGTTTCCTTGAAAAAGATTGACTCTAGCTTGGATTCAAAATATTTAACCTGTTGTCCATGATAGTTATCAATTTTTGTATCATCCCTTCGAACATCTGGATATTCAAATTTCCCCATTACTTTGCTTTATTTTACATTTGTTTAATGAATTCCAATATTCTGTTGCGGTCCTACTAAACACTGCTAAGGACCGCTAAGGACTGCTAAGGACCGCTAAGGACTGCTAAGGAGCCACAAAGGACTACTAGGGAGGCACAAAGGACCTTAAAATACATCCTAGGGCATTCTTATAATATATGGAAGTATGTTTAGTGATAAAAAATGTATAATATTAAGAAAAAATATTATTTTGGTGAAAATTTTATGAGTTGCTGGACCGCTAAGGACTGCTCAGATACACAAAAGACTGTTAGGGAGGCACAAAGGACCTTAAAATACCTCCTATGGCATTCTTATAATACAAGGTAGTATGTTTAATGACAAAAAATGTATAATTTTAAGAAAAAATATAATTTTGGTGATAGAATTTATGCTTTCGTTGAGTTGCCCGACAGCTAAGGACTGCTCAGATACACAAAAGACTGCTAGGGAGGCACAAAGGACCTTAAAATCCCTCCTAGAACATTCTTATAATATATGGTAGTAAGTTAATAGACAAAAATGTATTATTGTAAGAAAAAATATAATTTTAGTGATAGAATTTATGTTTTCTATGAGTTGCAGGACCGCTAAGGACTGCTAGGGAGGTACAAAGAATCTTAAAATACCTCCTAGGGGCACAAAGGACTGCTAGGGAGGCACAAAGGACATTTATATACCTCCTAGGGCATTCTTATAATATATGGTAGTATGTTTAGTGAGAAAAAATGTATAATTTTAAGAAAAAATATAATTTTGGTGATAGAATCAATAGAATTTATATATATGTTTTTTCGATGAGTTGCCAGACCGCTAAGGTCTGCTCAGGTACACAAAAGACTACTAGCGAGGCACATCGGACCTTAAATTACTTCCTAGGGCATTTTTATATTATATTGTAGTAAGTTAATAGATAAAAAAAAGTATTATTTTAAGAAAAAATATAATTTTCAAGATAGAATTTATGTTTTCGATGAATTGGAGGACCGCTAAGGACTGCTTTGGAGGCACTTATGAGTAAATAATGACCTTAAAATACCTCCTAGGGGCACAAAGGACTGCTAGGGAGGCACAAAGTAATTTAAATACCTCTTAGCGCATTCTTATAATATATGGTAGGATGTTTAGTGAGATAAAATGTATAATTTTAAGAAAAAATAAAATTTTGGTGATAGAATTTATGTTTTTTTGATGAGTTGCCAGACTGCTATGGACTGCTCAGGTGCACAAAAGACTACTAGCGAGGCACAAAGGACCTTAAATTACTTCCTAGGGCATTTTTATATTATATTATAGTAAGTTAATAGATAAAAAAATGTATTATTTTAAGAAAAAATATAATTTTGGTGATAGAATTTATGTCTTTGATGAGTTGCAGGACCGCTAAGTAATGTTAGGGAGGCACAAAGGACCTTAAAATACCTCCTAGGGGCACCAAGGACAACTAGGGAGGCACAAAGGACCTTAAAGTACCTCCTAAAGCATTGTTTTAATACATGTTAGTATGTTTAATGACAAAAAATGTATTATTTTAAGAAAAAATTAAATTATGGTGATAGAATTATGCTTTTGATGAGTTGCAGGACAGCTAAGGACTGCTAGGGAGGCACCAAGGACAACTAGGGAGGCACAAAGGACCTTAAAGTACCTCCTAAAGCATTGTTTTAATACATGTTAGTATGTTTAATGACAAAACATGTATAATTTTAAGAAAAAATTAAATTATGGTGATAAAATTATGCTTTTGATGAGTTGCAGGACAGCTAAGAACCTTAAAATACCTCCTAGGACATTCTTGTAATATATGGTAGTATGTTTAATGACAAAAAATGTATAATTTAAAGAAAACATATAATTTTAGTGATAGAATTTATGCTTTCGATGAGTTGCCGGACCGCTATGGACCTCTAGGGAGGATAGGATGTTAAAAGGACCTCCAAAGAAATTCTTGTAATATATGGTAGTATGTTTAATGATAAAAAATGTATTACTTTAAGAAAAAATATGATTTTGGTGATAGAATTTATGTTTTCGATGAGTTGCTGGACCATTTAGGACTGCTAAGGGGCACAAAGGACTGCTAGGGAGGCACAAAAGACCTTAAATTAATAATAATTAGTGTGTAATAATTCTATTTAATTTTGTTTAGTGATCTTTCTTTTTTTATGTATTTTGGTGTTGATTATTATGTTTTGGATGAGTAACAGGACTGCATAGGATGTGAAAATTGACTAGGTCTTTAAGTAAATGCTCTTATGTTGTCAGAGTGGTAATCAAATGTATAAAGAATATCACTGTAGTGAATGAAATTATATCATGAAGAATTGAAGAAGAACAATTTTAAGTTCAAAGGAAATCAGATGTAATTAATGATCAAATAAATAAATTTACCATGTTACTGGTGCTTATTGATAGTCTAACTATGAAAATGTTACAAAAATTGCCATTTTCTCCGGCAATTATGTAACAGTTGTCTGTAACATCCGTCCCTATCATCAGTATTAAATATATATGAGCCGTGTCACGGCAAAACCAACATAGTGCGTTTGTGACCAGCATGGATCCAGACCAGCCTGCATATCCGTGTTTTGGTGTTTTCAAAATAAGGTACTGAAGTGGACAGATGTAACAGAAATGAGCAAATGATTCTTTTTTAATTTTACAATAACACTAAACTTATCTTGTTCTTATGTTGTATGATATGGAAGTAGTTAGCTTTGCAACTGTACATAGAAATATTTCACACTAAAATTAAATAGAATAATCTTAACAAAGTAATCTTATCAGGATATATATTCACAGAAAACTATTAAAATAGGATATATAGAATGTTGAAGTGACATTGTGGTTAAAATTAGTCAATTGTTAAAACATAGATTCTTTAAGATCATTCTTTTTACTTCAATAATAAACAAATCATCTATCCCAGCCCCTCAGAAAAACAGTTGGATACAGACCAATTTCAGCCCCTCATAAAACAGTGGGATATGGATCCTAACTATAAATTACATACAGATGGGGCTGGCACATTATTGGAAGTTAACAAGCTGTATATTGGGAGCTGTGTATTGTATAATTGGGATGTGTGATATATTACAAACCAGTGGGGGTGCCAATATAGGGTGATATACTTCAAAACAGTGGGAGGGACTTTCTGTTAGAGAATGCCTATTATTAAGTAAGCTGTAGATCAATTTAGTCTAAGGATCTATTGAACATCATTTTTTTATTGGCCAAATATATAGTCAATGAAAAAAACAACCCAAAAAACAAATATATTTCACCACCCTTAATAAAGTATTTGTCTCCATATTCCAGCACATTGTCATATCACTTGACCAATTTAATTATTATAAGAAATGGAAGAAGATCATAAGAAAAATGATTTTAATATATGGTTATGACCTCAGTAATGAAAAAGTGATAATAATCAAAATTTGTTTGTAAACAAAGTCCTAAAAAAATATTTTGAATCTGTAAATTTTAATGAATGATCAGCAGTCCATTTATACTGAAACATCAACATAGAGAACTATCAATACTGAGAAATAATGAACTTATAACACTGAATCATAATAACATATTCAGATAATAATGTTACTGACATTTCACATAAATAAACATAAAATTTCACCAATTGGTAGTAATTAATTACAACAATTTAAAAGCAGATCTGTAATTTTTTAAATGAAAATTTTATTTGTTGGTATTTAGTAGTTAGAAATTCAAGCTTATGAAAACTTATAATTTACTTCAGTCTGTATAATATCTATTAAAAAGATAAATCTGATTATATCACTATATATTATTTTGTAAATATATATAGAAAGTTACTGTCTGTATGATAATTTTCTTTAACACAATGGAAATACATTATCTGAAAATAAAGAATCTTCCTTTCATTATCAATGTTCTTATTTAATTCAGAACAGTTCATTCAAAAGTCTATGCAACTTTTCATTTTGAAATACAAAAAGAAAGAAACTCCTTGATCAAGGAGCTTAATTCTATATATTTTTCCTGAAATTTGTTCTATTTGTTTATATTAATTGTACATTATGTACTATTTAAAGCATATAAAGCTATTATCATTATATTAAAACCAAAACCCCAGGAACTATGAGATTTGAACATCTAGTGTAACATTCCCCCCAAAAATGTAACAAACGCCTCCCTGCGGCATGTAATTTCTGGGTTTTCTAACAAAAAATAATTAGAAAGTCATAGAATTTTTGATGTTTTTTTAGGAAATGTGTTTGCATATTTGATTTAAGAATGATTTGGTGTATGTATCTTGTTTTAAGATTGACAATTTGCAGAATATTCATCCAAATAGTTATCCTTTCTGTAATATTTTGAAAAAAAAATGTCCAAAAAGTTATCCTTTCTTTCCATAAAAATCTGTTACAGACAATAAGGTACATAAAAACAACCAACATGGCCTTAATTAACTTTATTATTTGACATAGATGGTCCATTTACTGTGCAGAAGGGACAATTTGTTCAGCCAATATACACATTGTCAACATACATGATATGAAAAAATGTGATTCATAATGATATATGTTTGTATATATATTCTTTTTATATGTGCTTGTACGTTTATATGTAAACTTGAATTCGTTTTGTCAGGATCTGTGTTCATGTATATAGATGTTTTGATATGTGTTTAAGACTGGCTTTATTATTGATATGTGCTTGTATATAAATATGTATACTTGCATTTTTGTCGGTGTATGTCTTTGTATATAGATGTTATGATGTGTGTTAGAGACCGGCTTCATAAGTGATATATGCTTAAACATAAATATGTGTAATTGCATTTATTTTGTAATAATATATGTTTATATATAGATGTTTTGGTATGTGTTTAAAATCATAAAGCATAATTCTATCACCAAAATTATATTCTTTCTTAAAATTATACATTTTTTGTCATTAAACATACTACCATGTATTATGTGAATGACCTAACAGGTATTTTAAGGTCCTTTGTGCCTCCCTAGGAAATTTTTTAAGGTCTTTTGTGCCTCCCTAGCAGTCCTTTGCGCACCTGAGCAGTCCTTAGCGGTCCTGCAACTCATCGAAAGCATAAATTCTATCACAAAAATTATATTTTTTCTTACAATAATACATTTTTGTCTATTAACTTACTACCATATATTATAAGAATGTTCTAGGAGGGATTTTAAGGTCCTTTGTGCCTCCCTAACAGTTGTGAGTGCACCTGAGCAGTCCTTAGCGGTTCGGCAACTCATCGAAAACATAAATTTTATCATTAAAATTATATTTTTTCTTAAAGTAATTCATTTTTTGTCATTAAACATACTACCTTGTATTATAAGAATGCCCTAGGAGGTATTTTAAGGTCCTTTGTGCCTCCCTAGCAGTCTTTTGTATATCTGAGCAGTCCTTAGCGGTCCGGCAACTCATAAAATTTGCACCAAAATAATATTTTTTCTTAAAATTATAATTTTTTTTTCACTAAACATACTACCATGTATTATAAGAATGCCCTAGGAGGTATTTTAAGGTCCTTTGTGCCTCCCTAGGAAATATTTTAAGGTCTTTTGTGCCTCCCTAGCAGTCCTTTACGCACCTGAGCAGTCCTTAGCGGTCCTGCAACTCATCGAAAGCATAAATTATATCACAAAAAATTATATTTTTTCTTACAATAATACATTTTTGTCTATTAACTTACTACCATATATTATATGAATGTTCTAGGAGGGTTTTTAAGGTCATTTGTGCCTCCCTAGCAGTTGTTAGTGCACCTGAGCAGTCCTTAGCGGTCAGGCAATTTATCGAAAGCATAAAGTCTATCACCAAAATTATATTTTTTCTTAAATTTATACTATCTTTTTTGTCACTAAACATAGTACCATGTATTATAGGAATGCCCTAAAAGGTATTTTAAGGCCCCTTTGTGCCTCCTAGGAAATATTTTAAGGTCTTTGTGGTTCCCTAGTAGTCCTTTGCGCACCTGAGCAGTCCTTAGCGGTCCTGCAACTCATCGAAGCATAATTCTATCACAAAAATTATATTTTTGTCTTACAATAATACATTTTTGTCTATTAACTTTACTACCATATATTATAAAGAATGTTCTAGGATGGTAATTTTAAGGTCCTTTGTGCATCCCTAGCAGTTGTTAGTGCACATGAGCAGTCCTTTAGCGGTCCGGCAACTCATCGAAAGCATAAATTCTATCACCAAAATTATATTTTTCTTAAAATTATACATTTTTGTCACCTAAATGATACTACCATGTATTATAAGAATGCCCTTACAGGTATTTTAAGGTCCTTTGTGCCTCCCTAGAAAATATTTTAAGGTCTTTTGTGCCTCCCTAGAAGTCCTTTTGCGCACCTGAGTAGTCCTTAGCGGTCCTCAACTCATCGAAAGCATAAATTCTATCACAAAAATTATAGATTTTTCTTACAATAATACATTTTGTCTATTAACTTACTACCTTATAATTATTAAGAATGTTCTAGGAGGGATTTTTAAGGTCCTTTGTGCCTCCCTAGCAGTTGCTAGTGCACCTGAGCAGTCCTTAGCGGTCCACGGCAACTCTTCAAAAACATAAATTTTACCACTAAAATGATGTATTTTTCTTAAAGTAATACATTTTTTGTCATTAAACATACTACCTTGTATTATAAGAATGCCCTAACAGGTATTTTAAGGTCCTTTGTGCCTCCCTAGCAGTCTTTTGTATATCTGAGCAGTCCTTAGCGGTCCGGCAACTCATAAAATTTGCACCAAAATAATATTTTTTCTTAAAATTATAATTTTTTTTCACTAAACATACTACCATGTATTATAAGAATGCCTTAGGAGGTATTTTAAGGTCCTGTGTGCCTCCCTAGTAGTCCTTTGTGTCTTCTTAGCAATCCTTAGCGGTCCTTAGCAGTCCTTAGCAGTGTTTAGTAGGACCCATTTTGTTGTCCAACACCACGACAGGTCAGACTAATACGGTACTAATACACTTTCACGAAAGTGACTTGTAAAATATGAAATAAACCGTTGAATTGAAAGTTATACTAATATTGCATTTTTCAGACGTATCCCGAAACAACCAATTTTCAATCACTACCTAAATTCAAACACATTCTTAATTCTGTGGCACGGATGTCATGCCTGACTAAATTGCATAAAGTCACATGTTGTATTAACTTCAAAACTTGCAGAAATGCCACACTTGATTAATTGTCAGATGTTTTCAGAAAAACAATAAGAAACTGTTTGTTTTAAGTGACATAATATAAATTGTCCAACTTTCACTATATCAATATAGTCACTTGTTTAAAATAGTGGTAAAATTTTTTCTAAGCAAGTTAATTTTTTATAAAGTATTGGCAAAAGAGTTTTACCATTTACCTCAGTCCAAGGTGTATTTAAAACATTTATTTATATGATGTACCACTAAATATTCATCAGACTTTACACAGGGGTCCTTATTAATAAAATCGTATATTGTTATCAAATTTTTTCATGTGATGATTGTAGAATAATTGTTTTGTAAGCGATACCAGCTGGCAGATCTAGACAAGTTTCCATATTTGCTAATATTTTAAAGTGGGGAAGGTAAAATGGCTGTAAAGATTGGATGCATTTATCATTTTGCACCCCAAATAGCGTACTAAGAAGTGACACCGTTAACTGCCTTTTTAAACACATTAACAGTAGTCATACCAATGCATTGTGCTGTACATATGTTATAACATTTAGTGTAAGTTTTTTAAAATCTTGAAAAAACTGTTGAAAATTGTTGAATAGACTATTGTGAAGTTTTCTACAATTTTTAGTGGCCCTGATTTATCTTTAACAAATTTTCCATGGTGATTACCCTGCTGTTTGAATTAAGGTTAAAATATTCCTGGGAGTAACCAGAGTGGGTCAAATTGTTTTTATTGAATTTCTAAGAAAGATCAAGACTTGTTGAAAATGTACCAACCTGAAAATGAATAAGTGTTAATAGATGCATTAATAGCTAAAATAAATTTAAAGTATAATTTCCCCTTCCATTTATTATTGGCTAAAAACAGCTTAACTGATTGAATATTGGTTGTCCCGGGATATATTATCAGAAATTAATATTAATTTCTTATAATATACGTCTACAAACTGCAAATTTAGTACATTTTCAATTTAAACTCTATATTTAATAGTTTACAAGTCACTTTCGTATTGTTCTATGCAAGCAAAAGGAAGATAACTAAACTTTTATATTTTGAAATTAGACCAATAAATGGCGATTAAATCATGATTATGCTTATTTATTATAATATATATAATTAGTTGCTAATAATATACGTCTACAAACTGCAATTTTACTATAAAATTCTATTAAAACGGTATTATTCCAATTTTAAAAGTCACTTTCGCTCACTTTCGCTCACTTTCGTCAAAAATCTCACTTTCGTATTTTAGGCAAACCCAGACTAATATATTTTTTGGTCAGACTATCATTTATTTTTTTCGGTATGACTTAATACCGGATATGACTCCTATCCGCGGATAGGACTGATATTTTTCAAAGTTTTTTTTTCTTTTATTTATTCTTGATATTACGAATTATAATGTTAAAATAATAAAACATATAAAAAATCGTTAAATTTGACCCACAAATAAAAAAACTTGAAAATAATATAATTTTACACGGAATTTAACATTAACTAGTAATGATCGAGAAGTTCATATTATATAAGTATGGTGATAACCATGCCCATGCACTAGTACTTTCAAAAATGAATTATTTTCAAAATATGAATTATAGGCAATTTATAGGTCTGTGCTATATACCTCACATTCTTGCATATCAGATAGGATTATCTACCGTTTACACCGGTACGTGCTAGAAAACCCTTTTTTACACCCCCATGTAAGACAAGTCGCGTGCTTTAAATGACATCATTGTCAAAATATGAATTATAGACAATATATAGGCCTGTGCTATATATCTCATATTATGTCGGTCTTCTTTGGTGGATAAGATTTACTGAATGTTGTAATAATTAATTAAAATTTCATCTTTTATGCCTTATCATATGTTTATTGAAGGCCTTTTTGAAAATAGGAAGTGATTGAGTCAGGTACGGCTAGCCAAGACACACTGAAATGTCTAGCCGTACGCATCGTCGGATACCCACGATTGATAAACATGTCACATAACATGCAATCAATGAATGATAATGGTTCGGCCGTGGGTATCCGACGATGAGCCGTACGGTACTTTTCAAAATTATATGACATTCGAAAATGCATATGTTATTTTATGTCTTTAAGCGAGGATTTTAACCAAGAACTAGCTATTGTGTTCGATTGTTTATTTTTTAGAGGCAAATCGCCATGTTGGCTACAGTTAAGAGAATAAGATTTTGCATTTTACAATATTATGTGTTTTTCTTTGGTGCTTTGATGTATTGTCCTATTAAGTTATCTTCGTTAAATAAAGAGTTTACGTTACGATAGTTTAAAGAGATATCGTATAATTAAGTTTTAGGTTTTATTAACTATATACATTTGTACATTGTATATCGAATTAACAATGTCAGCAATTGCTGCTAAAAGTGAGGGAAAATATCAGAATAATTCATGTATAGAGAAATACAGAACCCGTAAAGAAAGCCCAACACGACAAAATTGAAAATGTTGCGGGCTCGGTTTGATTGAGCCTGTTCATGGACGGTACTGGAAAGTGCAAGTTACCGTCCACACCCCCTAGCACCGGCTTAAGCAGAATTCAACATTAACACGAACATGGTGAAGTTTTGAATTTAGAAACAACCGCAGATGTGTACATACGGCGGTTATCATGAAACCTTCAATGTGACACAGTAGTGCCATTCCATCAAAGTCCCATTATGCCTCAAACATGTTTTTAATTTATTTCTCAAAAGCTTTTAATAGTTTGTCTTCTGCTAACGTTTCCAAAAAGTTATTCATCGAATAAGTACCCGAACCATATTATTTTACACGTATGTAACTGTTTGGCAATAAGTTTTGTTACAGTGAATTAGTATTTTGTATGGAAGTCACAATACTGCAAAATGTACCTTGTTTACATTTTGCTTCTTATATAACAGACTGTTGTCTCTCTATATATGTATACATGAGTCTCTAGCATATAATTCAAAAAACTGTACATCAGTCCTGCGATCAAGGATTGCAGTGAAGCTGACACAACCTGCAGTGATTCGTAGTAAAGCGTGAAATATTTGTCTTCTCAAAACGTACATAGTTTACGGTATTGGAGGCAATGGTCAGTTGTGCTCGAGATTATCGTATTTTTTCGAGCAGGCTATCTACATCTGGGTTATAAATACGGAGTTTAAAAATATTTTATTCACTACACCAAGACGATTTAGAGGGTTCTTATCACAATAAAAACCACAGTGAGAGCCTCAAGGATGGCAGTAAAGCAGTTGTTATTAATATGAATAAGCCTCTAAGCGAGCTCGATTTACTTTTACCGTGAAAAAGTATAAAATAGTCGCTCATTTTTATGTTACATTTTCCGTTTTAAATTTGTCATTAGCTATTTTTTATACACTGCTTTCGTTAATTCTGGTTCCCATATATATGTGCGCAGGTCACCAGTTTACGCTTTCGTTTTCAATTAGAACACCTCGACTTTTATCATTATCTCGTAATTCGAAAAGTTGCGGTGTGTCAATTCGGAACTTTGTGTCGAAAGTTTAAACCATCACTATCTAGCAGGTAATCGCGTTACCGTAAATCTCGCTTTGCGAGCAGGCCCTTCGGGCCAAATCTTCAAGCTCGCTATAAATCAGTGTAATCTTCCTTCCTTGTCAAATGATTGGATTCAATAGGGTCAGGAAAATGTCTAACGTGCACTGAAGTACCGGAAGTAATTATGAAAAACATACACATTGTATACACACCTGTCTCTCAAATATCAGTCAGTAAGACTGGTGTACACAATGATACATACAAACATGTAAAAAAATACGATGTGCGCTCCAACTTTTTTTTAAAGAATACGTTTTGACTATTTAAGGGCCATTCGAAATCTTGTACTTTCGTCATCACTACCTGAAGATCAGGAAGACATCATACTGTTAATAGCAAGCTCGACGAGCTGGCCCGAAGGGCCTGCTAGCAAAACGAGCTTTACGGTAACGCAAGTATATACCTGCTAAGTGATGGTTTTGAAAACTTATGTAAAATTCTGTTGTTTGGGGTTTTTGCAAAATAATGAGATTTTTGTTTCAAAAATCTGATGGAAACCTACCTTACTGCAATTCAAAATGGCAACATTTATCAATGACATAAAAAGCAGATTCAAATAATGGCCAAACTGGAGAGCCAATCAAAATTCCCAAATCTTATAATAGCCGAGTAGAGTCCGTACTTTTGCATAATGGCCTTGTTTTATGTTCATAATATCGTGGTGAACTTAATATTTGCCTAACATTATAAAAAATGCCTTATATTGAAAACATAATTTGTAAAAAGTGATATTTGCCACTTAAGATTAATACACTGAGATGTAAAGTCCTACTTTAAAACAAGTATAGATGCGGACATTATATTATACTACTTATTCCTCTTATGAGTCCAAGTGTTTTCTCAATATGTCTTAAGTTTTTCAGCGAAAAAGTCCTCTTGCTCAAGTAGATTCTTACTAACGGTGACTTTGCACCTAAACTGTATCTGAGATACAAAAACTTATTCATATATATTTATTTCAATGAACACTTCAGAAATAAAAACAATTGTTTTCTATAATTCTTTGTAACTTGGATTAAAGCATTTACAGGAAAAAATCGTTTTGTTTCTGTTATAGTCATAAAAATCACTGATAATCATAATTCACTTATTATTACAAATTACTGATTACTACAAACCAGTAATAATCTCAAGTCACTGATAACCGAAAAACAACTAATTATTACAAATAACTGGTTACTACTAACCAGTTACAATTTCAGAATAGTAATAACCACAAACCTCTAATAATTTCAAATTACTGATAACCACAAACCTCTAATGATTACAAATCACTGATAACCACAAACCTCTAATAATTACAAATCACTGATAACAAAAAAAACAAGAAATAATTACAGATAACTGACAACTACAAATTATAATTTCAAAACTCTGATAACTACAAACCACTAATAATTGCAAATCATTGATTATTACAAATCACTGATAAATTATTTGTTATTACATATCAAAAATGATTTTAAATATGTGGTAACCACAAATCACTAATAGTTATAAATTACTAGTTATTACAATTCACTTATAATTACAAATCAATGATATTCACAAATCACTGGTTAGTATCAATCACTAATCAATGCAAATCACTTGCTTTTATTAAAACACTTTTACCGTTATTTTGTACTTTGAAAAAAAATAGTAAAGACGCTTATCAGTGTAATAATATACATGTATGTCTTTTTTATCAGTGTTTTTTTCCTCACTTTTTCATAAATGAGAATTTTAGTCATTTTGCTCTATCACTGGATATCTGTGTATATGTACTTTTTTGACGGGAACTTTGCCCACTTTGCAGAGGTTGTACCTGTAAATTCTGTCCCTGAATAATAAAAAGTATGCATCATAAAATCATTTATATTCTAAGCAACGAGCTTGATTTTTTATGCCAATATTTCTTTTTATGTATTTATATTTTACAAAACCATCATAATTTAGAATTTCTGATGAAAATACACTGTTATTTTAATATTTTGATAATGAGTCATGTTTTCTTATCTTTTATGGGTTAAAACAGATGAAATAGTTCTCTTTCAATCTTTGATACGTTCCTGACAAAAAATTACTTACATATAGTAATTACTATGAATTGACACTACTCCAGTAATAACTTTTCCAGAAGGTACATAAAAGCTTTGGACGTTATCAAAACTGTTAGTCCAGTCAGTTAGTTCGCATGAATGGAGATAAATATCTGAAATTCAAAGGCACATTAATTTATGCTTCATAAACGATTACTTTTTTTACTACTCATAAGCGGTGTCCCGAAAGTCCGTGATAAATCTTATAATAGACAGTTCATTTCTAACGCCAGTACATAATTATTTAACCATATGACCTATAAATTTATTTACTTTACATTACACCATTTATCAAATAGACTCTAGTTACTTGAAAATTCTAAATATTAATGACCCAGGCCTGAGTTTCTGGCGTCTGCATCTTGTTTTAATAGGCTTGGATAAATTACATGATGATAACGTCATAGGAAAATTCTGTTTAATTCAGAAAGAAACGAGAAACAGACAAATGAAAACATCTGATAGAAAATAGGATAGTTAAAATGGTGACGTCCGATCGAAGAATGTGAGATGCGGCGAACAGTTATTCTGTACTGAAATTCGGGATAACTTTCCAACTAATACATTGAATAGAACAGCTTAGCAACATACTTCAACAAGATAAATGAATAAATGACATGAACGAAAGCAGAGTTTTGCATCCCCGGGGGTGAAAATAAGAAAAAAAAGAACAGGAAGAACAATTTCCGCCTCTTATTTCCCACAGCTAGAGCTGGTGTTCATGTGACGAGGTCGGAAGTGCAATACTAGAGAAAAGAATGTCTGCCACCCAAACACTTTAAAGGTAGACTAACAACCACGCGTTTAAAGTCTGATATTGACGATTCAGGGTTAATAAAAAAGATTATGTTTATGCCTTGAATGCCACGGAGTTTACTTTCAGAAAGCACTTTAACGTTTTGTTTGACGTTTGTCGTGCTCCGCGATACACATAGTTGCCATGGTATTTATGCCATCATTTTAAAGTTTGTTGATAATTTTGTAAATTTGTGAAATAGAGGATATTGAATGAGTGTATGTTTAAAACTAAATTTATTGAACGAGAACAAAATCATAATCATTATGTGAGCCTCTGGTAAGTATTGAATCTACACGAATATAACATTATATTACCCCTCACTTTTTTCGTAATGCTAATTTCCCATAGGCCTCTGGGAGTTATTTTTACTGTAAATGCAAGTGTATCACGTGACTAAGAATTTTGTACTGTTACATAGGTAACAGTATTTTTTAACAGTATGAAATCTGGTCACGTGGTCTATTTTCTAAATAAAATGAAATAAAATGGCCGCCATTTTTTCTCGATTCATTCTTATTTTCGACGTTAAACACCAATAGGACATCAATTTCTTCTCTGGAGTAACTATGACACTCATAAAATTTAGTTGTTTGCCACCTGGTGTGCTTTTCGCGTATAAAATATCTTTTTGTTGAATAGTCAAAAAGTGAACATCCGTTTACAACGAAAGTATTCGCAATGTAAATAATTATGTGTCAAACTGGAACATGCAGACGATTTAAGCATGCAACAAAGGATTATTTTACAATTTTAATCAGTGAAACGTTACAGATATGGTGGACAGACATAGGATATCATCGTTATTTTGTCAAAAACCGTGCTTAGAATATTCTGGAAACAGAAAAATCAGATTTCACAGATCAAAACCGTGTAAATGGGTTAGTGTTTTGTTTTCTAAATAAAACCTAGCTTATTGTATGTTTATGATTTGTAGGCTACGCCTCGGGTAACAGTATTTTCGTCGGGATGATATTTTTACTGTTACCCACAAACCCATGTGTTATTTATATATTATTACCCCTCACTTTTTTCGTAATGTTAATTTCCCATAGGCCTCTGGGAGTTATTTCTTACTGTTAATGCAAGTGTACCACGTGACTAAGAATTTTTGTACTGTTACATAGGTAACAGTATTTTTTAACAGTATAAAATCTGGTCACGTGGTCTATTTTCTAAATAAAATGAAATAAAAATGGCCGCCATTTTTTCTCGATTCATTTTTATTTTCGACGATAGGGCATCGCCGAAGTAACTATTACTCTCATAAAATTTAGTTCTTTGCACCCTAGAGTTCCTTTCGCGTATAAAATATCTTTTTGTTGAATAGTCAACCGGAAACATCCGTTTTCAACGGAAGTAATTGTAATGTAAATAATTTTGTGTCAAACTGGAATATGCAGACAATTAAAGCATGCAACAAAGATAATTTAACAATTTAACTAGTGAAACGTTACAGATAGATTTGGTGGACAGACATCAGTTAGGATATCATCGTTATTTTCTAAATGCACTTTGTCAAAAACCATGCGAAGAATATTCTGGATGCAGACGGATCAGATTTCACAGATCATAACCTTATAAATGGAGTTAGTGTTTTGTTATAATAATAAACCTAGCTTATTGTATGTTTATGATTTGTAGATGTCATCATTTGCTTAAAGAAATAAAAGAAAAAGAAAACTTCTCAAGTGCCTAAAGTACACTTAAAGGACAGTTTAGTTATTGTTACTCTTGGTTTTTTTGTTACAGTTAGATTTAGTTGACAATTTCAGATCATCACAGTATTTTTGTTTGGGGTAATAAAATAAATAACACATGGGTTTGTGAGTAACAGTAAAAATATCATCCCTCGTAAAAATACTGTTACCCTCGGCGTATTTTCCTCGGGATGATAATTTTACTGTTTCCCACAAACCCATGTGTTATTTATATAATATTATTCTCGCTATTTTGGACTAAATTTAATACTCCGGTCTTACGTCAACTTAGCTGTTAGTCAGAAAATGTAATGCGATATAAATGCAAGAAGTATTGTTAAACAATAAAGTACACTTAAAACTTAAAAGGTAAGGACAGTTTAAAATTAGTTATTGTTACTCTTGGTTTATTTTTTTTACAGTTAGATTTAGTTGACAATTTCAGATCATCACAGTATTTTTGTTCGGGGGTAATAAAATAAATAACACATGGGTTTGTGTGTAACAGTAAAAATATCACCCCTCGTAAAAATACTGTATTTTCCTCGGGATGATATTTTTACTGTTACCCACAAACCCATGTGTTATTTATATACTATTATCACATATTCAAAATCAGAACGGTTTACAGTTTAAAAGCGTATTTTTTCCAATTTCATATTTCAAAGTCTAACGTTATATTATTATAGACGTTGAAATATGATTTTTTTTTCAAAACGGTTTATATTAAGTTTTTTTGATATGTATGATCAGTATCAATGTTTACTTGAATATCCGCAGCAATAAAATCTCCATTTTCTGTCTTCCGTCGAGTCATCATGTACACTTATCATTCCGACAATATAACGATTTGCAGAACAATGGAAAGCAAGCAACTCATCAAGTTTATTTTTCCAGGAACCTGTAACATAACTTCAAACTTTTTACAACATTACCTCCAGAGGAAAATATTAGATATTTAACCAAACGGCTAATTGACATTTGCAACACAATTAACAGTAAACATTTAAATGTTTATAGTCATTGACCGAACCTGACATTCGGATTCAAACAACATAAATAGAATGAATGGATGGATGAATGGACGGACGTACTGACGGGCGTCCGGCTGGCGGACGGACGGGCAGATTTTCATATTTAATTTATACTAGATAAAACTGATGACTGATACTGTTTCGGACTACCAGTGACATCTTGATATATAGATTGTCATTCAGTGCGCATGATTAACAGGAAAGCGAAAATACGATGGTGTCGATGGTTAATCCCCCCTCCGCCAAAAAAAAAAAAAAACAACAAAAAAAAAAAAAAAAAACGATGATGAAAAGTCAAATATACAATGGTGAGAAACTACGATGGTGAAAGGTCGAAAGTAGTATTGAAAACACGATAGTTTATCGACTTTGCACCATCGTGGTTTCGTTATTTCGCCTTTTCACCATCCTACGTTTGACTTTTCATTCATCATATTGATTTCGTTATTTCAACTTTTAACCATCGTAAGTTCGTCTTTTCGTTCTTTCGAGTTGTGTGTGTGTGTCGCGATGATGCATTCTTTTATTTATATTATAAATATTCAGTAACAAGTTCCTTGGTTTCAATACATTCTGAATATGTCTAATTTGAATAAAAGAATGAATAAACTATGAAATAAAAAAATAAAAGTATTTTTCCCAAAAAAGAGCAGACTGTTTTTTTAAAGACACTACGGTCATCCTTGAGAAACATTTTTTAGTCACAGAAAGTTATTGAAATCAATGAAATTCGTTTTAAATAAAATTCTTATTTGAATAAAAGAGTGAATAAACTATGAAAGGGAAGCTGCGGTCCCTAATACAAGTTACATGTAAGTAAAGTCGGTTCTTTCTTTAAAATAAACTTCCATTTTTTAAATGACACTTATACATTCATATTGTGACCACAATTATGATACAACATATCTACTGTGTGCTAAGTCAGAAAAAGTTTTATGTTATATTTACAAAGAACCTGTGTAGAAATTGTCAATATTTTCTAATATCAAATTTGAGCACAGTATATATCTTCAATAATGAATTTAAGTTAATAGTAAATATTCTCTAAATGTATGTAAACATTTACATGAAATGGCTCAAGTGTTTGTTGAGTGATCTATTTCACAGCACAAGTGCTCTTACTGTAGATAAAAATAAAATTCTAAGAACTATTTTGTTTCTGACCGAATATACATGTATAGTACACTTGAAAACAACCCTTGTCTTTTAATCGAAAAACTGCACGTAAGGCAAGTATATAAAATCACGGAAATCTTTAATTTCAATACGCGGTATTATATGTATAGTCATTCAACACTTTACATCATTTTTTTGTTTTTTTTTTATTTGGGGGGGGGGGAAGGGGGGAGTGGCTGGGGACTGAAAATTACAACACAGTTAAGATATGGCGACTCTAAGCTTTATTGATGGACAAAGGCCTCGGGTACTCTTCAGTGTTTTATTTCAGGCAGTAACGGGCAACTGAGTAGAACCACCGACGTTACGTAAGCAAACTACATTCATAGCTTCCTCACATTTAAAAACCTAAAGTCACTGTCGGGAATTGAACCCACAGCGGTCAGGGAAAAGTGGTTTGGAGCCAACGACCTTTAAGTTAACCACTCGGGTACGTACGCCCCCATAGTATGTCTATATCATTTAATATAGATTATGGTATACATGTATATGGCACTCTCACGCAAAATGAAAGACGTCATAAAGTTCTTAGTTGTTGAAATCCACCTAGTTGTTAACAAGGTGCTTATTTCTACAGTTATCAAATTTACCTGTAGAATCACAATATCTGGATCCTTCTGCATACGGAACAGTGGCACAGCCAATATCAAAAGTCCTGTCTTCATAATAAGCATTATGTGTGCTGTATATGGACTTGATAGCCTAATAATTGACAAAAGTACAAATCTGTTAAATACATTTTTCTGTATTGTAACATCCAAAAATATACCTTATCCCTCCCCACAAATAATATTTTTCACAAATTAATCCCATAGTCGGTTGCCCACGGTATATATTCCGTACAAACTACATACCGTGGATAACTGACGATTAATTAACCCGTCAAACTTTTTTGTTCACATGTACTACATATAGACCTATATGTTATTATATTGATTTTATAAAAAAATCACAATTTATATCTCCTCCCTAAAGTTTTATTGCAAATGATGATTACCATATGTGAATATCGTTAACGCATTTTTATAATTGTTTTGAATATTTTACTTTCTTTTAGGAAATGTACGTGGATTGTTAGTGCCGTTTGCGAATTACTGTCTTTACTTCACAATATGCCACTTTACATGCATTTTTAAAAATGTTCACGAAAATAAGCAAGAATCTGGAGGCATGCACGCATGCTTCTTTAAGGTCAAAATTATTAAACTTACTTCATTTTGACTTGAGCACCGGAAGTCAAGGCGTCCATCCATGTTGTTCTCATAATTGCGAGCCTCTGAACAAGCAATACAAATGAAGACCACAATGACAAAGACAAAGTTCCTCCTCTGACTTATCTGTGATATGTATTTATACGATATATTAATATCTAAAGGCACATTATGCTTCAGAAATATATATAAATATTTTTTTTTACTTCTTAAGACAGGGCAAACATGAATTTCATAATGTTAATATAATGGTTTTTAGATGGTTACCTTAATGATGTGTCCTAAATATAGCAAAATGTAAAAAAGCATATATCGTAGTATTTTGACTTGGGTACAAATTCACCATAATTGTACTTATTGCCAAAAAAAGCAACAGGTGAAAAAGAGATTGAGCAGGTAATTGGCCAATGAGTTACTGTTTGGATATTATAAAAGTACACCAAAATTTAAGAGCTTAAAACTTGAGAAATAAAAGTAAAAGCATTTCTGGGGCATAATGGGCCTTTAAATAGCGATAAAAAATGAATAAATCACATACTTTTAGGTCATTTTAGGAGATACACTGAATCGATAGAGAATAATGTATCATGGTGTTGACATTTAATGCATTTTAACACGCATACTACATCATAGAACCAATTTTGTCCAATTTTGTAATAAATGATTTATCACTTTTCGATTAACCGGTAAACATTTTTATTGTATATACACAAAATATCAGACAGACAAACACCAACTTATAAACAAGAGGTATCTTTAAAAAAGATACTCGGCCGAAGTAAAACTGGTTAATTGCATATATAAGTTCTTAGTTTTCCATGCAAATTCATATAGAAATGTTAGCAAAGCTTGCGTAACAACGACTAGAGTTATTAATCTTAAAAAATGGAACGCTGTTAGATGTATGTGTTTCTTGTTTCGGTTAGTGAACTCAATTTCTAACACCAACAGGACTGATTTTGAGAATTTGGCTCTCTATAAGATGCTAGAGGCATTTTGTAGTAAAAGTGGTATCTTGGTGTATTTTACCTATTTAAAGTATGCTGAAAATACTAATTAGAAAACCTTGATCTTGACCATTGAAATGGCCATTTAAAATGACCACTAAATGGCCGCCAAATTTCTTTATCACAATTTTTATATGGATGATATATCAAATAAAACTTTTAAGGAAAGGAAAAGCCTAAAATTTGTCACAAAGCATGTTTAGGTAAAAACTAATGAGATAAATAAGATAATAACAAATAAGGCATTTAAACATAAAAGACTAGAATGTAAGAGATAGTCCCTACTCCTTTGAACTATCACTATATTTAGGGTTTACGCACCGAACACTACACTCTTCCGTGCCTTTTTTGCTAGATATATAGTTTCATGTATTTTATCTTGCACTTTATGCAGTTGTCAGATGTTCTGTTATCGGTCCTTTCTCTGCTTTTCTGTTATCGGTCGTCTCTTCGTTCTTCTATTATCGGTTCTCATCTTCGTTCTACTGCGTTCTTCTGTCATCGGTTCTCGTCTCTATTTTTCTGTAATCAGTCTTGGTCTCCGTTTTCTTGTTAATTCTTCTGTCATCGGTTCCCGTCTGTTATCGGTCCTAGTCTCTATTTTTCTGTTATTAATCCTATTCCTATGTCAGTTCTTCTGTAATCGGTCGCTGTCTCTGTTCTTCTGTTATCAGTCCTCGTGTCTGTTCGCTTGTTGTCAGTTCTTCTGTTATCGGTCGACATTTCTGTTCGTTTGTTGGCAGTTCTTCTGTCATCGGTTCTCGTCTCTATTTTTCTGTAATCAGTCTTGGTGCTTCTGTGATCGGTCCTAGTCTCTATTTTTCTGTATAATCAGTCTTGGTCTCCGGTTTCTTGTTATCATTGCTTCTGTAATCGGTACTAGTCTCTATTTTTCTGTTATTAATCCTTGTCTCCGTTGTTTTGTTGCCAGTTCTTCTGTTACCGGTCCATGTCTCTGTTCGCTTGTTGTCAGTTGTTCTGTTATCGGTCCCTGTCTCTGACTTCTGTTATCGGTTCTTGTCGCATTTCTCTGTTGTCAGTTCTTCGTTATTGGTCGTGACTTTCGTTTTTCTGTTAGTTCTCGCCGCAGTGCTCTTGATCTTCTGTTATTGGTCGTGATCTTCGTTCTTTTGTAATCGGTCCTGGTCTCGCTTCTTTTGTTGTCAGATGTTCTGTTATCGATCCTGTCTCTGCTTTGCTGTTATCAGTCGGCTCTTCGTTCTTTTATTATCGGTTTTCGTCTTCGTTCTTTTGCGTTCTTCTGTCATCGGTTGTCGTCTCTATTTTTCTGTTATTAATCCTTGTCTCCGTTGTTTTGTTGTCAGTGCTTCTGTTACCGGTCCATGTCTCTGTTCGCTTATTGTCAGTTGTTCTGTTATCGGTCCCTATCTCTGTACTTCTGTTAATGTGTGCTCGTCTCTGTTCGCTTGTTGTCAGTTCTTGTCTACGTTTTTCCTTCTGTTATCGGTCGTCGTCTTCGGTCTTGTACTTTCGGTACTTGTTTCCTGTTCCGTTAAGGTCTTCTCTTCTTTCTATCGTTGCCGTCATGCTGTGTCGATGTCCTGGTTTTGTCAGTCTTATAGTCTTTATTCGTTCCGTGGAGTAGCGTGGGATCGAACTCACGACCCCTTGATTCGTAGGCAGACAGTGTTACCACTGCACCATAGCGCCCGCTCTGAATAATAACCAATTTTGAAAGTCCTTTATACATTAAATACTATTTCAATGGCTAACAAAGGGTGTATTACAATTATATTTTAACACCTCTACTATGTAGCCAACCCACGTGACTTTTATATATGGTCAAAGAAAATATAACTCGATTTAAGTAATATTTTTATAAATAACATTGCTGTTACTTTAAGATATCCTGAAATTTTATTGGAGGGTACCCGGAATTTTAAAGTATATCAAATGATGTGATCATCTTCTTGTAGAATTTTCTCAAAACTGTGATTGAATTCCAAAATTTTCGAGAGCTTCCATGGTATAGCAAGTACACGTAGCAATCTCCAGGTTTCAGACATTTTATGACTCGATGAAAATATGGTGTTGTTATTGTTGTTGTTTTTTTTAACTTTAACTTTAAATTTCAAATTAAATCGTCACTTATTTCTAAACAAGATGGTAAACATTTGTTGTTTTCTGTATTTTGTTATAATTAAGAATGTGATAAAATATACACTTCTAAGTTTATGACGACTTTTTAATATTATCGATTATCCATCGTATACCTTAATGCAGTTATAATTGAATCTAAAAAATGAATTATGCAGATATTATTTTCGGCGGAAAACAACAAATACAAACAAAACTCTAACATGCAGCATACATGTGTAATGTTCACAATGTGCTGAAAACAGCTCTTTATTAATTTCAACATTTCAGCAAGTGACACATTTTATAAAAGAATGGGACAGAAATTTAAAAAGTAGGATTGTAAATTTGTAAGTTGGATATTTTTTACCTAGTTTGCTCAACACTCAATTAACACATTTTTATATATAAACCTGGGGAGAAAACAACTTTCATAGATTGAGATAGAGCCATAATGTCGTAGATATTTGGGTTACAAAATTTTTTTGATCCTGATAATGTTTTAAGAAGGATAAACATATTACAAGCTTATATTCTTAAAATTTTGTACTGCCTTATTTCATTTGTTTAAATACGTGCAATTATGTAATTATTATGTCTTTAGTTAGTTTCTGGAGAAAAAGCTTAATGAAGGTGGTATCTTTTATTTTATAGATAAATTTTATAATGTGTCAATTGTCGCCTTTAAAAGAAGATTGTTGTGAGATTTTGCAAATTAATCCCAATAATTTGAATTAGGAACAACATAATTACTTTTTACACCACCTGAATTGCTTATTTGTAGTCTTTTTTAATTATAACCTTCAATTAGAATTACTCATTGAAAATTACATACTATCGTTAAGAAATTAATGGTAAATAAGATTTATTTGTATTGGAATTTTAAATTGTTATTAAAATTTTATTCAGTTGGGCTTTAATAGAAGATTTCCAACTAAGTTATGTTAAAATATAATAAGTTACAGTACCAACAAGGGAAAATTCTTAAGTAAGTATTCCTTAAGCTAAAGTGAAAATTATACTTTTGATAATATTCATTGGAATAGTAATAATGTATATTTCATCGATAAATTCATAATCATCATAAAAGAATAAATTAAAAAAAACAAAAATTAATTGTTAGTGAAAGTCATATCTGCTAAAAATGTAAACGTAATCCGCAGTAGCACAGCCGGTTAAGTGATTGACTGATGTGTGAGAGGTCTATGGTTCGATTCCTACTGTTGCCTTTTTTTAGACCTACTGTTTTGTTGTTTTTTTCTTTTGGGGGAGGGGTGCGGTATATCTTTTAAAACACTTTTTTTCTTTGTTTGTGTTGTGTTTATGGCATTGGAATGGTATTTTTGACATTACAAAATAATCTTTCAATAATTTTAAACCATAATACCATAATAAGTGCAAAATATATGAAAACAAAATGAACAACTTAAAAAAGTGATTGCTATAAATAATTTTGAAAATTACGGAACACCTGAAGTGACATTTTCCATACTCCCGGAATTGAATTTGTTTTTACGAGGTAAAAATTCCCAATTAGAAATATTATTTCGTTTTAATGAAATATAAAATCTTAATTAAGAAATATTGATTCGTTATTACGAAATATTATTTCGTAATTACGAACTATTAATTTCTTATTACGAAATATTTATTCTTTGGTAATATTTATATAGAAGGATTGAATCTAAGTTTATTGTTAAATATAAGTCAAGTAAACAAAACATAAAAAGTGATTTTTTTTTTCAATCTTAGACGCGCTAGTAAAACAGTACTGTAAATAACTGTTAATTAAGCCATTAGGCTTATAATCGTTATATTTGGTGACCAATCTCATTAAAATCAGATCATATTGAATAATCATTTGATTTTGACAAGAATAATTAATTGCATCATATTGTATCATAGCTTAATTTAATGATCTATTTTAGTTTTTTAAGCGGCCATTTTAAATTGACCTTTTGAAGGTGAAGGTTTATTTTATTTTCTTGGTATCCACCCTCATCGTCTTCAGCATACCCATATTAGGTTAAAACACTCAAGATATTACTTGTACTATAAAATGCCTCTAGCATTCATATTTTCTTAAAATCAGTCCTGTCTACTACGCAGTCGGTCAGGCAATTTTTTTTATAGATACTTGATAAATATGCAAAAATATATAAAAAGTAATATGAAATTAGGCAAA